CATTTCATTTACGCTTTCGTGATCTTAACGTAAGCATTGGATACAAACTGAGATAAGGAGAGGCGAGTGAGAGAGAGAGACAGGGAGGGAGAGAGATGAAGATGAATCTAATTCAAAAACTAACAATTCAAAATAATAAATGATCTCATAAGTTAGGAGTAATAGAAGAATCGAAAAAGAGGGAAGAGCCGGATGGCAAAAAACTACTCACAACATACATTCTTACAAGAGCAACGAAGAGAGTGGGAGAGAGAGAGAGAGTGAGATGGAAGGAGAGATGACAAGCAATACAGAGAGAAATGCACAAAAAAAGTAAAGTTAAGCAGATGTTGAATCAAAACTATTTATAAATGAGAGTTAAATGGTTATCGTAAAGTGAATGACGGTTGTCACATTGCCACCAGTATGAACAAGGCTTTTACAGGTCGCCAGAAGTAGTGGCGTTGCATTATAGGTTATGATCATATTGCCTGGGAAAGTTGCTTCGTATGTATTGTTATTGCAATCAAAGAGGATAACTAAACCCAGATGGTCTACGATGTAATTCGATGTAATTGATGAATAAGAATCTTCAGATATATTAACTGAGAGTTAGAATAATCGAAAAATCTAATTGAAGTGAACAGGACAAGCTTCTACAAGGCTATGAGCTATGAAGGAGTATCAAAGTGTTGTAGCATTATCAAAATAGTTAATCAGATGAAGCGGAAACGGTTTTCTGTTCGTCGTGGTGGTGGCAATTGATCAGCTGAAGACATTTGGCCATTTTTGGTCATGACAATGACACGAAAACACAATTCCTGAAAAGAGTTGTAAGTGATTGTCAGAATACAAACTGAAAGCTGTGAATCTAAATGTCTTTGACTAAAGGTAGATTAGATGAAGAAAAGTTTGTAAAAGATTACTCGACGGATGTGTTGTGAATAGACAATCAGAGATATGGTAGGCCATACTAGAGTTCCATATATGGTTAAGAGAGAATGTGTTATAGATATATTAGAATAATATTCTACAGGTGGCAGAATAAACAAGAATCCAAAGATGATGTCACAAATAAGATGAAGCAGCTGATTGAGCAACTGTCGAAGAGGTTGAGTAGATGGCAGGTCTTGTTCATCGTAATCCAGATAGATATGTCTTAAACATGAACTTTGTTATCATCATGCAGGAAGTTGAGTAAAGTAAAATGAGAAGTTATTACTTGTATAGTAGGTCAAAGAAGGAAAGTCCATAGAACATGAGACAGATCATAGCTGCATATACGACGACTGACAACAAGTTCAGGTATTCGCTTTCCGTCTGCATCCATATGAGGCGAGTAATGCTGAACGTTCGAATCCTAAATCACATAGCTAAAGATCATTCAACTATTTCCATTTTTGGATAAAAAACATGAACTAACTCTGTCTCATTTGTTATGTTAACAACCCGATTCAATGTGAAGATGATTGTTAGAAAGTGAATGGCATACACTATGACATCAGAGAAGAGATAGAATCTGCAAAAAAAAACTTTTTTCTTCTCATTTCCGCTTCGCTTTCACGTCATTCTCGGAAAGACGATGGAGCTATTCCGGTAAATACAAATCCAAAATTGAATTATGAAAGAGAACAGGAGGGTTAACGTAAGAAACGTCCCAGGTGCTCTTAGAAGGATAGGATTGAGGAAGTATGTCTTATCACTGGCTGAAACAAGGGGCAGTCATAGAATGTACTTTCAAGAAAGAATGATACCAATCATATAAGGTACTGTCACTCCAACACATACTAAACCAGCAATGTTGGTGAAGAGTTGAGTACAGAAAAGGATGAAAAGAGGCTTCGTTAGAGTTCTTTCGCATTCAGGCAAGACTGTTAAAGTGGCCAAGTTGATAGATACTCCGAACAAGGCTGCAAGTAGACTGAGGTGAAGATGTGGCGAAGATATACAAACCAATAATGAAATAAATGGTTCCTAAGACATTCTTCTTTGTAACTTCAGTGAATAGTAGTCTGTCTTCGAAATAAGACATTTCAAATCTGTAAGATGAAATGAAGAAGTGAGAAGAGTGTTTGAGATATTACCAAAGTGCCTGTTCGATCATTTAACAAGGTTCAAGAGGTTTTGATGAATGATATCTTCCAATTCAACAAAACAAATGAAAGAAAGTAAAGAGAAAAACAAAATAAAAACGAAACGACAGCCAGTTAAAACTATAAAAACCTCAATTATAAGCTTCAATTAACACTCTTGTTTGTACTAATTAACGAAAGTAGAATTCTAATAGCCTCAGGTCACAGTTTTCGATTGAGATAGATGGTTGCTAATCAGCTTGTTGCAATCCGAATAATGTTAACAAATGAATAGAATATCTATTAGTGAATGCTTGATCTTGCTGCACTCACACTCTCTCTAGGATTTCGAGTTTGAAAATCGTTCAAATCGCCTTTAACCATATGTTTCAAATTTCAAACACAACCATTTCTCTTTTTATTTTACATGAAAAACATGGAAAGTCTTCGGCTTTTCTTTTACATTTGGATTCAGAATGGCAAGTTTACATGGCATTTCTTGTGATTCAATACAGAAAATGACTTTCGTTCAACGAGAAAAACGTCTTGTCATGTAGTACGGGACCATTCTTCTTGGTGCAGACAGAAATCCTCCATTTCCATAGTGCCACTGAAACACATTTGAAACAGTCATCAACATATATAGAAAACGAGAAAAACAACAACCGTTCAGTACGTATGGAAATACGAAATGATTGCTCAACGTAAGATGAACAGTGCACGTGGAAGTTACATGGAAATACCACGTGAGTTTTACGTGGAATTTCCACGTGAATTTTAGGTGAAAGGTGAACGAACATCAAAATGAAAAAAAAAACGTTACCCCTATAGATGGTCTTTCTGGAACGGGACTGATATACACATTGTCAACTTCAATACGAATTCCAATAGCATATCCAGCTGCCATGTGATCGTCTTCAATGAAACTGATGATGAAAAAGAATATAAATGATGAAAGGTGAAAAAAGCTGGCAGGAATACGGCGTGAATGTTTGTGAAGTCAAATGATAAAGTAAACATATCGCTGAGTTGTTGCGGAAAAAAATATTTTATAAAACCGTTTGAGTATTAATTAAAGAAGAATTAAAAGAAGAGATGAGTTTCTATGAACGATAACATCACCACAAGGCAATTATGATCTTTTGCATGAGAGGAACGACTTTACAAACTGGTAAATAGGCAGTAGAAAGGGAGAGAGAGAGAGAGAAAAACATAAAGAGAGAGAGAGAGAGAGAAGAATTCATTTCTTATACAGACAGCTGCAACGTATTCCCAAGTTTTAAATGAACAGGTTTTATAAACTATGCCAAAAGCTGACTAACTGAGACTGATTAAAAGCGCAAAACAAGACGATGAGTGGGGCGTGTTAACGACTGAAATATCAAAATTAACCTTGAAATTGGAAAACGTTTATTCAAATCATCTAACATTCAATAATTATTTTTTAATTCAGAAAAAAAAAGGAAATAAGAAATGTCAAAGAACAATAGAATTATGAGCAAATTGGTGGTTAGGACGACGTCATGAAGATGCAAGAAATGAAAGATGAGAACACACGCAACCGGAAAATGTCGCGGAGCAAAAGCTTATAAAGCTCAGACGGTAAAAACGTGAAAATCCACTTTTCAAACACAAGTTGGTTTAACGACAAACTGTTTTTGCACTTGTATGTTTCACAAATGGATTATGTTCATCAGTATGGTAAACTCGAATACTGGATATCCGAGCGCTTTTAAATAAAATTAAATTTTGTATGTCAACTGTCAGCTCATTCCTGGCTTGTTTCCCAACCTTTGGACTGTTTTTCCTCAACTCATCCGAATACTACTTACAGCTTCTGAATTTTTCGTTCCATTTTTCGCTTTTGTACCAGCCGATGAAGCTTTTTCTCTTTTTCGACAGTCTGAACCGATGCCTGAGGGCACGTCAATCACATTCCGGTTTTTGTGGTGTTTGCATAAAGCGACCGGACCGGAATAAACGGTGCCTTAGCCTGTCCCGCCTTCCGCATCTCCGGAGCTTTTGGAGCATTCTGTGATTGGAGTCGTTCAGTTCTGTGTGTCCCTTCGAGGTTTCTCTACGACAATGTGAGTTCTTGTTTCGTGTCATTTCTATTTTAAATCGAAATTTTCAGGTTCAAACTTTTCGTTTTCGCTTTCCTCATTTCCACCACCATGTGTATGCTTGTACAGCCATCGGTAAGCACATTTTAAAAACATTGTTGATGAAATTGAAAAACAAATTGCAGTGGATGACTCTTGATTACGCAATTGGAAGATCGTCCATTCTGTTGAAGGCAGTTTTACAAGAGCAAGAACCTGTATGTCATGCAGCCAGTATTTCATCGTATACAAATGAAACTTCCTGTCTTCCACTCTCTCTCTTCTAAGTTCAAGAAGAAGCGCGAAAAAGAGGATTTTAACGAGAAAATCTATTTGTTTGTACAAAATGAATTGAAATTAACTTTTATATCTCGGGTTCAACCTATAAGCGTAAATAAATCGATTTCTATGAAATGACCTTCATTGACCATTCTTCCCTATCTCACTTTCATCACAAGCAACGAAATCAAACTTTCATTTGAAATATAAAAAATGAAAGAATTTTTCTTTTCATTTTATAAAATCCATTCAGATGTTAAGGATGATGGCCATTTTTACTGAGACAAAGGACAAACTTAAAGACATTTCTTCCGAGATCATCACCGGATCTTGAAAACTTAGCCAGTTTTTTGATGTCTACCACCCTCCGCTAATCACACACTCTTCTCTTAATCCGACTGTCCGTTAAAAGCTACGAACTTTTCGGTTCGATCACCCGGCCTAAATGAGGGCTATATAAAGCATTTTTGGTGAAATTTCAACTAGTGTGTCTTCTGATTCCTCAACAACGTGAGTTCATTCGTCTCATCTTGCAAAACGCTTTTATTTACCTTTCTATTGTTTCAGAATGAAGGTTCAGACAGCCACTTTTGTGGCCTCATCGGTTTCTGCCGTTTCTCTTATTCTTTGCCTTATTGCTATGAGTGGTATCCACTCTGATGTTAACGGCTTCTGGCTAGAGCTCGAACATGAAATGGGAGGCTTCAAGGTATTTCCGTTCATTTTCACAGACATTTTCACACATGTTTTCTTCTCAGGTTGCTACCGACGATCTTTGGCGCGATATTCTCTCCATCAGCACCACTGCCAAAATGCGTGTCCGCCGTCAATACGACTCTGAGAGTAACCCACATCCATCTGACGATGGACGGCCAGCCGCTCCACCAGGAAGCCCACCATCAGTTCCACCAGTCTTCGCTCAAAACCCAGGACCAAATGGTGCTGGACCAACTTGCAACTGCCAAGCTGATAACAAATGCCCAGCTGGACCAGCTGGACCAAAGGGAGTTTCCGGAACTCCAGGACCAGACGGAATCCCAGGACAAGACGGAAAGCCAGGACGTGATGCTACTGATATCGCTCCACAACAAGATTCTATTGGATGCTTCCACTGCCCAATCGGACCACCAGGACCACCAGGAGCTCTCGGAAGACCAGGACAACGTGGTCTCGTCGGACCAAAGGGACACGACGGTAACTCCGGACGTGACGGAACTCCAGGACACCCAGGAGAGCAAGGACCATCTGGACCAATCGGACAAATCGGAGAGCCAGGACCACCAGGAGAGAAGGGACGTGATGCTGAACACCCAATCGGACGTCCAGGACCAAAGGGAGCTCAAGGAGATCAAGGACTTCAAGGGCCACCAGGATCCAACGGACTTTACGGACCACCAGGAGAGCCAGGACCACGTGGACCACCAGGAAACCAAGGACTCCAAGGATCATTGGGACCTGACGGAACATCAGGAGAACAAGGACCAGAAGGACGTCCAGGAAAGGATGCTGAGTATTGTAGCTGTCCAGACCGCGCTGACGATGCTATTACTCAGCCAAGACAAGGAGGATACAGAAACCTTTAATTTATTGACCAAAATAAATATTTTGAACACTATAAAAGTTATTTCTCTTTATTATGCTTGGATAGTGCTAGAACATGAATAGCTTCGATCTGAGATAACGTATAAGTCAGAGTGAGTGTGTATGTGTGTGCGTGAGATGATCACGTGATGTCAATGAAACGTGAAAAAAGAAAATTCGCGTAATTAAAAACTTTTCTTTTTTTCAATTTTAAACGAACTGACATAAAATGAATTGGATGAAAAGAGGAAACAACGGTGTCAACCCATATTTGGAACTAGAGATCAATAAATACAAAGACTTTTTTTTTCCAAGAGAACAAGGACCAGAAACTCTTTCAAAAATCTTTTTTCTTCAAAATTTGACAGAAAAGTTGTTTTCTAGCGAAAAAGTGTGATGTGGTTTGATTGAAGAAGAGAAGACGTTTCATTTTCTTCCGAATCTGAAATAATAGTCGGATGAGTGTTGTATGTGGATGAAATGGAACTTGCCTCAAACGATCAATTCCTTTCAAGGATTGTATAAGCTTATGGGTAGCTGTTGATCGCTTAACACTGAAATACATCACATGAGTGTACGGAAACGAAGGACGAAATAAGAATTTTTGTTCATTTAATTATACGTTGAATAGAGATTGTCATAAATGTATTTTTGAACAGAATTTGAACTTTCTTTTTTCATATTTTCATTTGCACTATCAGCACCCTCGCATTCATGAACTTTAAGATTCAAAATATTCTTGAAGCTTCTTCTTACTCTTCGATGCTTTGTTAAATCTCATTAAGAATGCGATATTACCTCGGAAATCCGTCACCAATCAAGAAATTCAGATCAGACCCATCATCAGCTGAACTGAAAAAGGAAAGAATGAGTTCATGTCTCTCTTTACAAGAATTGTCGGAAAGCTCTTGTTTAGGTCGAGAAGACAACGTATTACGTTTTTCGCCTTTTTTACGAAAGCTCAATGGTCAAAACATGACGAAACAGGATAATTAGCTGGATTTTATATAATTTAAAGTGTGGAAATTAGTGAAATTACATTGGATTGCGTCTATGAGTCTCCTCTTCTCTCTCTCTCTGTCTTTACATCCTCTCTGATTCTCTCTCTTGCAATCCTCATATCCCTCTTTCGCGTTTGATCTTCAATGTAAAAGCTCTGACGATAGCGAAAGAGATGATCGCGTAGGCAATCTAATTAAAGTCAAATCTCTCAAAATCGTTTTTTCATTATTAACAAAGGCTTTTTGTGTATGTGTGGTAAGGAGTGAAGAAGAGGCATCAGAGGACAACATCAATTGTACCTTGGCGATGGTGCAGATTCTATCCATTGACTTCGTTTTCCATAGCGAAGACGTTCAACACTTTTCAAAACTGATGAAAGATCGTCAAATTGGCTTTTCTTCTCATAGCCGAACGAACTGGAAAAATGAATAACTTCTTAATTAATAATTAATAATATATTAGATGAGTTTGTGAATGTGTGTGAGTGTCTGAGAGTGTGTATGTGTGTGTGTGTATGAGTGATGTTTTATGATTATTTTGTGAATTGAGAAGAAGGAACATGAACAAGTTGAGATTGAATATCATTTGCCTGTGTTGTTCATAGATTTGTGTGAAATATCTCAATGTCATAAAAATTGTCGGAAATATTAAATTTCACTTGGAAACCGTATAGTTAGGAGAGGCTATTAATAATAATAAAAAAAAAGAATATAGAAAGTAGACAGAAGAGAGAGAGAGAGAGGTTAAGAGAGAAGGAGCAGCAAAGGAGATTCTGAAGATGAAGTTGTTGTTTTCAAATTTGTTTTCTCTCTGGATGGTAAGAAAATAAGAAAATTTTTATTTTATTTCTACACAAGTTATGCAGATGACGATTCAGGGATAGTGCTTGAGACGGCATAATCCTTCGACCACCAAAAACATATAGTTTACATGAATTTTTTGAATTCTTTTTTTTTTGTTTGAATAAAAGGAGTGCGGAAGTATACGAAAGGCAACTTACATTGACAAAACAATAGCGAAGATTAAGATACTGAGGAAGTATGATGTTTCGTATGACATTACTCTTGCTGTAGCAACGGGAGGGAGGAGGGCAGTACCAGAATTCTGTAGAGAATGGCGATGATTCTCAAAATTGAAGCTCTCAGGAGGGGGGAGCTTGAAATAATATTAAATTCGAGTTCACTTGGAAATACATATACGCCTGAGGGCGGGAAGAGAGTTGTTGGAAGAAGATAAACAAGATATTACATGGAATCTAGAGGGAGTATGAGAAAAAGAAGGGGAGGAGTTGGGAAAGGCCTACGAGATATGAGAGAGAATGAGAGTGTCAGAGAGTAAAAAAGCAACCGTTCTAGATCTCTCCACGCAATCAAATGGGAGACTCGCGTGAGCAGCCCACAGATTCACGTGAATTTTCACGTAAATAAACAGAGAACGCCAACGATATATTCAAATAAAGCGCGTGGGGGTTGCGAAAGATTTGAACTGGAGTTGGATTGGAAGTTCACTTCATTTCCCAATACAGATAAGTTTAAAGAATTGAATAGTGAGGTCTGATGTAAACAACCCAGTTAATGTGTTATTTATGAAATCTGAAAAAAAGGCGATTTCTTCAGTTATTCATCATAGAGGTTGAAAGAGAGAGGGTGAGAGAGAAGGGAAGAGATGGAAACGAAGAAAGACAGAGAATGATGTTTCTGCGTATTGTTCTGGTGCAAGCCTTCTGATATTTCCATATTTAGTATTATATCAAAGAAGTATGAATTCATGAGATGATTTCATAGAATGCTCAGAGAGAGCAAAAAAAACCGGAAGTAGTGTTCCCTGTGAGCAGTGTATGAAGTGTTTTGAACGGAAATTCAATTATTTGTAATAAAAAGTGGCTTATGATTGATGTCATATTACAAGAATCAGGTAGACGTAAGAATATAAAAATGACAAATAGTCCCATATGAGGTAGTTTGGAGAGATTGATAGCTTAATGACCGTACCTGACTAGGTTACACAGGATGAGACAAATAACAAGCAACCGTATCATTGTATATCTGAAAATAGGGATATCATCTAACAGTCGAACAGAGGTAGCTTGAGCTAGCGTGTTCATGAACGTACATATGTTTCTCAAATTGAAATGAAAGACAAATCAGACAAACATCGAGAATGAAATAAAAAAAAAAAGAAAAAGACAACGAAGAAAAAAATTTTTTTGCTCTCAAATCTCTCTCTTTCAGATTCTCTTTCCCTCCGATGATTCGCCTCACAACTACACAATTCCAAGAAGAAGAAATTAATTTCATTGCTGTTGTTGTTTTCTGAGATTACGAATGCTTCTTATTCAATTTTTAATAAGTCAATGTCCTTCCATTGAATGATTTCATATAAAGTCGAATAACAATCGGGCCAAGTACATGACTTCCTCGAAGCGAACAGAAAACGACAGAAAAAAACTAAAAAAAACCAAATTGGAAACATTGGAACAGAAAATCGGAGAGGAGATGTAAGGTGATGGCCAAGTGTTGTTCCTAGTGTTTGAAAGCAGAAAAATTGAATTTTTCTCCTTTTTTTTTGCTTTTTCTGCTGTTATATATATGAGCTTGCATGTTGTTTGAGATTTTGTGTCACATCATACAGAAGATTTTTTTTTTGCTTTCCTTTTAATTTTTTGGTTTTCGGAAAGTTCACAAGCAAGAAGAAACAATTCGGAAATGAGGAAAGGCCAACACACACACAGAAGTGGCTGAGAAAAAAGTTTAAAAAAGCGAACTTTATTCGAATACATTTCTGTGAATGCTTCAACTCATTTGCATAATACAGATTACACGTGGATTTCACGTAACTTTTCGTGTTTTTCATTTGTTTTGGTGTGGGCGGTGTAGGGTGGTAGTGAGAGTATAACAGAGTGGGTAGAGCAAAGGAGGTTGCTTTTGAGTCAATTTATTATTTAAAAAACTTTTATTCTCTCTCGGTATTCTATATATGATTGTCTATTAAATAGGAATGAAGGCGATTGTTTATTATGGAAATGGGTGTCTCTATGTGAGGAAGGGAGGGAGGGAAGAGAGGGAGGATGACGATGCTTATATGCGAAGTTGATGAGAAGCAAGAAAAGGGTCAAAAACATATTTTTTTGGTCAGAAAAGTATGATGAAACAGCTGATTGAAAGAGTTTGGGAGCGATAAGATTCTAGGAAAAGCTATCTATCGAAGTCATAAATACCAGAATAATCATGCTGAAGAAGAGCACTGATTCTTTCTCTTAATTATAATTGTTTGGGGGGACTACTGCTGCTGCTGCTGTGTGTGTGCTTGTTCGTCGATAGGAAAATATATTAAAATATCGGGGAGGTTGTAGAAGTGATTACATTTCTAATGAAAATGAGCTGAGCTGATCTCTATTGCTTTAAATAATATTATTTTAATAAAAAAAAAGAATGGAGGCTGTGAGGAGAAGGATAGTGCTGAGGGCAGAAGATCTATGCACAAGTATCGCTTAAGAGATTAATGAAAGGAGAAATGAGCATCGTATGTCTTCTAAGCTTCTATCATAGACGAAAAAAAAATAAATAAAAAAATTTTTTTCTTTTGCTTTTGTTTACCGCGGTAGAAAACAAGAGGCAGGAACATAACGATACGCAATAGTTTCTTTCATCTCTTAATTTCTCTTTCTTCTTCTCTCTCCCTCTCTCTCTTATACTCTTTGCCCCTCTCAATGCTCAGTGATGAGAGAGATGGACCGGATGAGAGAGCAACGCAATAACGTTTCCTAGAAAAAATCTTCATTAAACATCTCTGGCACAAGTTGAGCATTTGTTCAATATGCTAATTTTAGTTATTCTTTAAATGGATTTCTGAAGCATTACGTCTGCTGCTCAATAAACCTCGGAATAATCAGTTTCGTATTCAAGTGGTTTCTGATGGCTAATCTCTAATATGAAACAGGCTAATCTATATTTTCAAAAATCACCACATGAAATTTGACTATTGTGAGGAAAATAAGGAAAAAAAACGAAAAGAAGAAAGATGAGAAGACTTTCGGATAATTATGTAGGAAGAAGAGCTTTAAGCTTTTTAAACTGAGCTTTGCTAGAATGGAGCAGGAAACGTCCCACGGTCAAGAAGAGTGCGTGGAAGACACGTGTCTCATGTTTTTTGTTCTGAAAAAGGGATTGAACGAAATTAGAAGAAGATTAGGTTACCACCTAATATAACAGTTTGTATGGAGGAGGGGGTGGCGAGGCAAAGAAGCAAAGTGACGTTTCTCATGTATTTACTGGTTATTTCACTCAATTCCTTCTGAATATTAATGAAGTTTCATTAAAATTACAAGAAAGAGTGATCTCCAATGCTTCAGAAAATGTTTTTTTCTCAGACTAACAAGGAAAAGCTATTGTTGGAAGGTATCCGTTGAACCAATCAGTCAGAATAATCAAACAGATTAAATGCTTCAAATATAGATAAGAGTTGTATCCCTACTGCTACACTGATTACAAGTGAACATTCATTAGATGTAATACAGTCAATTATTTAAGCGAACTGCAAATATAGAAAAACAACACAACAATAATCTGCTCAATGATGTATTATCCGTTGAAATCCTGTGGATCAGCCTTACTCATCAGTTAGTCAACTCGTACCAACCACTCCCAACTCCCTCAATCGTATGGGTAATTCCCATCCATCAGAAATCTAAAAAAAAAAAATTAAAAATATCCTGCGGGTGTAAATCATTCATAAGAAGATTTCGAATGCAACCGCCCTGAGCACCAAATGGAAAAGTCAAATGGCGTACGAGCGTCATTTCAGCCGTGGAGCTCATTAGCATACGTGAAAGGGGGGGGGGATGTAATATGACGGAAAAAGTGTTGTTGAAAAGATAAGAAGGATGATGATCTCATATTTATTTATGTTTTATATGTTTAAAGAAACATAAAAGCTATGATCTAACGTAGTTAAAAATGAAATTAAGCTTTTACTATATAATAATAAAAAGAAATACATAAATGGAAGTTGCAATGATAGATGACAGTTTAAGTAAAACGTCTCTTTCGTTCTTCTTTAATATGGTCGAGTGTATGTCTATGTGTGTGTGTGTGTGTGTGTGTACGTATATGTGTGGGTATGTGGTGGTCGTGTTGTATTTCTATAAATTTAGCTTTGTTTTATCTTCAGTTAGAACATGACCATACGTTCATTTCGTTCATCACTATCTCTTCTTCTTCTTTTGTAAGACGGTGCGACAGCAGACACCCCACCCTTCTTCTGCTTCTTCCTCGCCACCTTTCATCCCTATGCACACCACAGCCGCTCCACTCAAGCATTATCATTGTTTCCAACATATTTTACAAATGTTATTAACTATACATATTTGTAATATTTTATTTATTATTGTCTACTTTTATAATTTCTCAGAAATTTTTTTGTGATTTTCAAGGCTCATTGAGTTCCATTATGAGTTCAAAGGAAGAAACTTGAAACTCTCATAATCTTCTTTCTGATTTCTTGAACTGCATTTTCTTTTTTTCTAAACAGCTTCCAACGAATACCTAACAAGGAAGTCCCATTGACAGCCTACTTGTGGAATGACGAATAGCCTCAAGAGGTTTCATGGAAATATCAAAAGATTTATTTTTTTTGTTGAACAATCTGATCAGACAGTTAGAAGATCACGAAAGCGCTTGTTGAATAAGTCTCTCAACTCTTGAGTTCTATCAAAGCTTTACACACTTACAAACTTTAGAACAAAGAGTTTCCGCCTTACAGAAGGGAAAAAGCCCTCGTTGATTCAATTTCAAAAATGTTCATTTCTGTTTCCATCTACGGTCATAAACGTATATGCATATATGTAACAAAGGAACTGACCTCTCTCACTCTCTTGCTGTGTATGGTGTTATCACAAGAAGAGGGAAACCGTGTCGGATCGTCGATCATAAGTTCGAAAAGAAAAACATTAAACTTCAATAGTAATAATCTATTCTCATAATAACCACCATATATAGAATATAACTATATAATTCCTTATATTTAATCAAATATTTGAATACAAAGCATTAACTCTTATCTATTTCTTTTCCAACTTTTCAACTTTCATTATCAGAATCAGCAGCTACAGAAGCTAATTCATGAAATATTACTGAATACAAAGGTTATATTTTGCATGTTCAGTGATCAAAGAGTACTTCTTCACCAATATCTTGCTTAGGATGTGTTTCACCTACCTTCTCTCTTTACTTATACGTCTCAGTCTCTCTCATTCTCCCATACTCTCTCGAACACACAGTCATCTCTTGTGCGGCAGTATGAGCTTAAAGACACAAGTTTCATAGTTTACTGCGATGAAGGCTGTAATTCCGAGTAATTTCCTCTTTTTTCTCTATTTTCTAAACTTTCACAAACACTTCAATTAACAAGTCAGACCACCCAGGGTGATTTAACTCATTGGATATCCCTTTCATATCACCCACTTTCGCCCTCTTTTCAATTCTTCTCAAACTGTATAGAGTTGGCTGAGGTCGATCAACAAACGCCTGGCCATCTTAATGTTTTCTTAATCTCTTTGTAAAACAACTTGAACAACCTTTCACTTCCATGACTTTGTCTTTGTCAGCTCTTCGAAACTACTGGCAGGAAAATAATTTTTCTTTGTAATCTTTTAATCGCTTGTTCTCGTTTGTCCCATCTTATTCATCTTCAGATTAGTTATGCTCTGCTTCCGAAATGCGCAAATCATAACTGCCCTCAGGCCTCATTAAGAGTGTCTTTTGCGTGTCTACCGTATGTCAATAATATCGGACACTTTTCATCTTGAAATTTCATTGTCTTCCATCACTTCCACTGAGTGTGTTCTTTTGTTTTAGTCTTAACAGTTCTTTTAAGGTAATCTTGCCATAGTTGGATGAGAGTGACTGTCAGAGTTGTCGAGAGTGGGATAGTGAGATTGAGAGAGGAGTTGTAGTAAGAGTGATGCGCTTAGAAAACTGAGCAGGTTAAGAGAGAATAGAGGTGATGCTTTAAAATTTCTTTTATGATATTCATAGATGTATGTTGTGAAAGGCTAACTCCTTTCACATAAGTGAAGAAATTTGTGAAAGGGGCCTTGCTTGTATGTAACATCTGAAAGAGATTGGAAGTAAGAGTTACAGTATGGGACTTAGATGAGGAGGGAGAGAATGAGAGAAATAAAAAATAAATTTTTCATTTTAATGTTTCATCAAATAGATGAGTTATTCTTTAAACTGTCCTTTCGATAAGAGTGGGAAAAAAAGGAAAACGAGATGAGATTGTAAAGCGATCCAGTGCTCCCCAAATGTCATTTTAAACAAGTAAAGGAGAGGGGGAGGGGGTGAGGGTAGATATTCATGATAAACTGAATGTTGATAATGAGAAAACGTAAAGTTCAAAGGGTCATGAAATCCACTTGTACAAAAGTGTTGTCATTGTTGTGCGGTGTGTATCTTCTTTTGCGGCATCGTGTATTGTCTTTGTTAAACGTGTGCATCTTCTTTAATATATTAGCTCTCTTACCCTCTTTACCTTCCCATTTGAATCATCTAATTCTCCTTTCTATCTCTTATGAAAAACAAATAATCATCTTCTCAAGAGTTTCTTTTGTATGACACGACGATTTTGAGGTTCGATGCTTCCGATTAATTGACTTCACCAAAATTATCCGATAAGCTCTTCTTGCACACGAAACTCTTTTAACCTTTTTTTTTATTTTCAAAATCATTTTCATTGTATATGGCGTTGTTCTGATTCTATTTTTGAGTTCTATTTTTTACTTTCGCAACTCCCAAACTCATCACTCATACTGACTAAGACAGTGTCAAACAAAAAAAACAGTAGAAAGTTATCTTTGGGCTGACAATGGAAAACCCTTAGTCCTACGTCAACTATTGTTATCAGCAACTTCTTTTCTTAATTCGCATCAATTTCTTACTACTTGTACATCACATCGTGTTCTTCACTTAGCTCAATTTCTACTTTACAGATGAGGAAACCACTTTTGCTTCTACTACTGATATTAGGTTTTTGCTCTTCAGCTGTTATTCACAAGGCTACATTCCAACGAAACACGGAAGAGTCGGCAGAAATTGATGCCTCCAAGGTGATTATTCATTTTCTTGACCCCAGAAACATTTATTTTTGAAGATTATTGGAAGTGATTCTGAGCAGCTCCCTAGATTAACTAAAGAACAGAAATGGGATTTAATCCATGCAAATGGGTTAAGCTCTCAAGGATTAACAAGAGTACGACATCGTGTACGCAGAGGTGAAGCTTCCCATTGCAAAATCTTTAATCATTTGATTTGTAGCTAGAAAAGCTAAAAGAGATATCCTTTTGGCTCCTTGGCGTATAACTCATGCTGTCCGTCGACTCCCAGAAGTTCAAAAAATTAATAAGCCAGCCATTGCTCTCTCCGTTGATACCTGTCCCTCAAGAATTGATGCCGTGACGCGAGGTGGGAAATTTTTGAATTCTGCAAACTGATTAGAAGTTCATTTTGAGTTCGTTTGAGAAACCAACCAGCATGACAATCTAAATTTGCTTTTTGATTTGATTTCAATCATCTCGCGAGGGGTTGACACTGTGTGAGGGAAGACATTCCTGAAAAACGAATAATTAACTAAAATTTGCATTAGAAACCATGTTTAGCGTCACAGCGGATCAACCGATCTTCAAAAAAATGAAAATAAAGAAACGCGCTCATTTGACTTTCATCTCGTATTCTAATTTTCCAATCGATTTCAGCATACAACGGTCGAACATATGTATTTGCACGGGAAAGAGTTTATCAAATGTGGCATGAGGATGGACTGCAACAGAAAGTAATAAAATGAATTGGAACATTTTAAAATCTTATAATGTTTCAGTCTTCATATTTAATAACAGAGTTGTTCCCTGGTGGACCACGCACTGTTACAGCAGCCTTAACCAATAGTCGGTCTGGAGTGACGATTTTGATTTCGCATCGAACTGCTTATCGCTTCCGATGGAATCGAAAATACAAAAAATTCCAAGTAAACTTTTCTCTTCGAGTATTGAGAACATGAGAGTTGCAATTTCAGTTGGCCAAAAACACTCCTCAAGATTTACCCCGTAACGTGACCATTACCCCAACTACAGCTTTTGAATGGACAGATGGAAACCAAGTCCTCTTGGATGTAAGTTATTCAATCGATTGATTATCCTCATGAGCCAATTGAAGGGCGGAAATTTCGTGTTATATGACGCTTTCTGGAATATGGCAACTTTCAGTGGACAAACCAAAAGGTAAAATTTTTCAGTTGCTTAATGCAACGATCAATTTCAGATATTTTCCAAATCTTCCACGTGATTTGCTTGGCGTTGTCTATAATGGCGGAGGCAACACAGTTCTCATGTACACGAAATCCAATTCATTGAAGGTGAGCTAGAGAAGCTCCATGATAAGCAACACATATCTCTTTATAGGTTTATAATACGAAGAAATTCCGTGTTGTACAGGAATATCCGTTGAAGCTCAATGAGTTTATAGGTTGTATAGCATCCTCCTGATTTGCCATGTTATGCTCATCTTTTAAATTATTATTTTTGAATATGTTAACGATCAGCCGGTGACACACCTGTGTGTTTTCGTTGGATCATCTTATTTGAAAACGTTATTTCTTCATTTATTTTCATATTACTCTTTATACTTGCTTGTCACATTTGCTATTCATTTCGGTGAAAATCTTGAAGACCCAAACGGAATACTTGTGTCTCATCTAATCAGATCCAAGTTTTGAAGTTCTTTTTCCAAGTTTTTGCCGTCATTTACGAGTATCTTTCATGACTCTCTTCTGACGAACTCTTCTTTCTTTCAAACGTATACACACACATACACACACACTCACCCATCCATCCACACAACCATATATTCTTAGAATATTGCACAGAACCAGTAGAAGAGAGAAAGGAAAAAAGAAAATCGTTCATTTTGAGTCAGTTATGTCACTTCAATCATTCCAGCATCTTCAAGATACTTTTGTTCAACTGAACCGTTTCTTTTGTTTTTTTATTTCTTCTGTTCTCCGAGTAGAGTTGATCATCATTTTTAAATATTTTTATTTTTTTGTTTATGATGTTTAAATTTAATAAAGCTTGAACAAGTAGTTCTGATTGGAAGAGTGTCTAGGAGTGTAAAAGGAATATGCCATACAGGTGCCACAGAATGGGCAATGCATTTTACTAATTAGATCATTGCCAACTCAATATGAGCATATTGTCTTTAATTTTCAGTTTTGCCATCCTGTAACGATTCTTTGGTCACCTTGTGGTTAAAGAAGCACGTTTGTAAAATCCACCAGCATTTGATGCCATGCAAGAGAATACTCCAGCAAAGAATGAAACGAACAAAGCGGATGTTGATGGAGAAGAGAAAATGCTTAATTATCTTCTTACATCTTATTACAAATATTCGTTTACCAATGAGAATATAGAAGATCCAGTTGACACTCACAGCTAGCCTGTTGAAGACAGACATCTTGGCTCACTCAGATACGGAACTCAAATGGTTGGGATGGCTTTATATTGAAAGAATTTATAATAATTTTGAAAACACGCGAGAAACAAACTGAAATTACAGAATTATGAAAAATATAAATTGGAAAGAATCAACTGTTTTCGCGTCTGTATACTTAACAAATGAAAATGACTCGTAAACAGTTCACGTGGGATGTCGGCGGAGTTCACGGAAATCTCACGTAAACGTTTACTCGTGGATAGTGCATGATATGGTTCAAAAGTGCAAATGTACTTTAATGCTATCCAACCTCTTGTTGCAGTATTATTTACCGCGGAACGAAAGGAAAGTGAATGAATCGAGCCATGAGTAAGGAGAAGATCAACTCGGAATGTTTCAACGAATGTATTAATCCGAAAAATTACACTAACCTTGTAGGAGCAGTCATAGCTAAAAAACAAATACATCAATCAGTACATGACTGCAGCTGGCAGTGTTGAGACGTACTTGATTGGTCAACAACGTAAATTTTATAGAATGTCATCCTTTCTGTCTCTTTCTTACAGTGCGTGAGTACATTACTCTTTCATTTCTCTAATCAACCTTGCGTTCAGCGCTCGGCGTATGCATTTCATATACCTCTCTAACAACTCAACTTCATATGCTGAGGAGTAGTATCAATTTAAACATGATTTTAAATGTTTTTTTTTCAATTTGGGTGAATTTCGGGACCAAAAGTCTGGTGCACCGACATATATACATATACATACAGACATATTCCTACTAATTACAATATTTCAATTAGTCAATACTTCGGGAAAATGTACATAGGGAGCTTGGGCGTTCGATACATATCGAATTCGTGAAAAAGATACATATCGTTCATATCGATTGTCGAATTAATCTATCGAACGCCTAAGTTTAGTACGTAGCTCAGATCAAGCTCATATCATCAAAAGTCTTTTTTTTGTGGTGGTTACTAAAATTTAATGAAAACATCAATTCCTTAACTGTACAAACTTGCATCAGGATCAACTATTCCGGCGACAAAGACGATCATGTTGCAACTTACAATTTTCGTGTCCGGCGTATGGTAAGCAGTTTCTTGAATTGTCATATTGGACAAATTTGGGAAAGCGAAGTCTTCCATTCTTATGGAGATTCCGATAAAACGACCATTATCATCATATAGTCCGGAGCCAGAATCGCCTTGTTTTCCTTGCGACGTACCGTAAAAATTACAACCTAAATCGAACAGTTAACATTTCACAGTTAAGAAGATAGACTTACGGCGTTTTTCCACCACAACTCCAGAATTCCAAGTGAGCTCTCGTTTTGAGTCCACCCCTAATTGTTTGTACTCTGCTCCACAATAAGTGTCGTTATCCCGTGGGACATCGGGAAAAACTCCTGTTCTTATTTCGAAAACAGCAACGTCGTAAAGTTTAGAAATGGCCTTCACAGTAACCTAAGAAGCTGCAAGTAGTTCAATTAATTTAAATGAACGAACCTCCACTTTGACATCCGGGTTTAGGACGTTATACAAATAAATAATTTCAGCTTCCTTGAGCTGTGAGTGAGATCCATGAGCGAAGGAAACCGCGTGCTTTTTGTCAAATACGACAGCACAAGAGTGGGAAGCGGCATTCGGCGGTGACGTGGTGAAAATCATTCTTTCCAACCTCTTCACGGTATTTTCATGCATTGCGTTCAGTAAAAATTGCCTGAAAAACATTATTGCTAAAGTATAAGGATTATTTTAACAATATTCAGTTGTAAACTTATAAGGAGAATGAATAGAGTTTCAAAACTACACAGAGGGTGTTTCTGACGCAATTTTTTGGAATTCATAACAAAATCAACTACAATTTTTCAAGACTATTGGTAAAGGATTTCGAACGCGAACTGTAGAAGATAAAGAAGCCTTTTCTATTCACTAAAACTGATAAAATACGATCTTGGCAATCCTTCTCCTTCCTCTGCGTCCTTTCGCACGCGTACATAGTCTAACGCGTTTGCGTGTAGCGTCACATGAGATCGAGATGCAATAATTCTATTATTATTATGTATTACTATTATGTATTGTTGGACTGCATTAAATTTATCAAAGATATCTTTCAATATGGATATCATTCTGAGAAACTTTCCACCCCACAAGTTCTTACTGCTGGACTACCAAGCCTCCAAGAAATGAATATGAATCCTCAGAAGTATGCAGAGTCTTTGAATCCTAGATCCTAAGAATTGTATCAAAAAGGAAGAGAAGAATATTACGAAAAACAACAAGAAACTCAAAAGCAAAAAGACAAAGAAACAAGAGATAAATACGAAGTTGATCGTTAAGAATTTGAGAAGAGAAGAAAAGAAAAAATGAAGCAATATCTTGGATTCGAGAAAAGAAAGATGGAGAAATTAGAAAGGTAGCAATTAGTGAATACTACTCCCAATACTACTACTTCTGTGAATTCGAGTAGAACCAAAAGATCTACGAATCAAAGTTTAGGAGAACCTTTTCCATTACCCTTTCTAGAAAATTGTAGAAAAGACGTAGAAAAGTGTTAAAAACAGCGAAGAAAAAAAGCACCCCGTTTGGGGTGATTGGTGCGCCAGATTTTTGCTCTCGAAATTCACCCAAATTGAGAAATCCTTTGAAATTATGCTTATATCACTACTCTGTGGAAAATAGAAACCGGATGTAACTCGGAAAATATTAAAACAATCCCATATTCATTACAACAACTATTATGTCATTACTTAATAGAATCTTCTTTTCTATCAATGAAACTCAGTGATTTTCACAGAAATGTTCATCCGGTAGAACAGACTAGAGAGCGAGACATAGAAGAGAAAGGGTATCTGCACATAACTTGTACACACAATTCAATCAAACTGGGATCACAAAGTTAAGATCCGAGAAAACTGTTCCTGTCATTCCCTTCATTTTAGCAAGCATTGAGTCATAAGCAGTCAGAACTTCTTTCGCCTTCTTCTCAGGGAACTGAAATGTCAGATTGATTTTTGAAATATACAGAGCTCATTACACTTGTCAATAGAGTCGAAATTACTTTTTCAAAATCATTGTTGAACTTAGTATCTAAAGTACAGAATTGTTGGGACAACTGAAATTTGTTCTATTAAACGCCGTCAGAGCATTACATACCGCAGCGTATTCATCCTTCGATAGCACAGTTGATAGAACCTTACTGGCTATTTCCAAGAAAGTTCCAACGGCAACGCGATGCTTCATGAAACTCTTTGCTGTGTTAGCACCGAACCCTTTCTTAGAGTATGGGCTTGAAGAGTTGGTTTTAACATTTGGCTTGAACTGAAATAAGAGATTGATACCCAAATGCGTGCGAATACTTCAATAGTTCCTAGTTGGGTTGGAATGAACACACATACTGATAAGCAGGTACTCTCTATTTGGAATAGTACAAATTTAGGTATCACTTCAAGCCTCGATAGCTCAGTTGGGAGAGCGTTAGACTGAAGATCTAAAGGTCACCAGTTCGATCCTGGTTCGGGGCAATTGTTTTGCTCACCTAATGAATGGATTCCAATTTATCATTGAAAAAATATAGAAAAACAATTTTATGTGGCTGGAAATTGGAGCCCGCCAAATTCAAAAGTGGATTTTCTGAGACCATTAAACTTCTGAAGGCTCTAACTTCCTTCAACGACAATCAAATTCAAAAATTTCTGAACAGTTCTTCATTGCGAAGCCTTCTCTACAATATATCCAAAAATGAGAAGAATCGGACAAAATTCAATTTTTTCGATTCTGGCCGGCTCGCCAAGGTTCCAAAAAATATCGTCCAAGTCGAGCCCGCCAAATTCAAAAGTGGATTTACGGCTCGCCAAACGAAATGATAAAATGTGAAATAAGAGTTTTGGTAATACGCAAAGGGTCGTCATCTAGTGCTACCTCATTTTTCTTCGCCCATGCTGTTATTTTTTCCTGTTGTTTTTTGAGTTTCTTCATGGTGTTCAAGTTTTTCGTTAGCTGGAAATAGAATGTTTTACTCTATGGTTATAGTTAGAACTAACAGCTTCGACTTTGGCTGGTGCGGCATATCGGAAAATTTTTTTCATAGCGGCCGCAGTGATTTTACATGTTTGAGCTTCGTAGACCAGGAACAGAACACAAGGTAAGAATGTAAGCAATCGCATTATTCTGTAGGTAACGACACTTTGTAAGATTAGAATAGAAAAACAAAAGAGAAGCAAAAAGTAACAACGGTGTGGTTGTACGTGTATAGTCTATATATAGTTGGTTAGGGGTGAGTAGAGACCAATTATGTACCGTGCAGGATTAGCCGTAACTCGTTAGATTTTCGCAATTCATTGGATCAAATCTTGTCAGCCTATTATACTCTCCGGGTACAGGAGTATGAAAATCATTTTTCATTCTCTAACAATTCAATGAGATAGTTTGGTAATCCTTCATTCATATATGGAGTTTCGACATTTCTAAATCTGCACATGACATCATAGTCTTTCGAATGTTTTCTTAAATTGCAAAATGAGATGTGTAAGGACATTTTGCCTCACCTGCAGGGCAATTATGCCATCTCGCGCCAGGCTTTGGGCACGACGGCGGGGAAGCTTAGGAACCTTTTCCGACAACACGACAGACGGTCAACGGAGCTCTTTGTCAATTTTGCATATCTCTAATTTCCCTTCATGTAACTCCATATCCGATTATGAAAGATCAAAACAAGGAAGATTTGAGCGTTCAGATGAGCTTTTCCTTCCATTAGTTCGATTAGAAAGCCTGAGGTCTTATCTGTTCTGATAAAATTTTCATTTTCTTCATCTTGCCTATTGACATTAGAGCTTTGTAGTTGCGAGAATCCATTTTATACCTTCCGAGGTACAAAGATTCTTAAATTTGCAATAAGAGATTATTAATTCCACCAGATGGCTCTCTCTCCATCCTTCTCTCTCACTTATTCATCCATATTTACCTGAAACATCCTAACGTCTGCAAGCCCTCCTTCACATTCTCTTAGGTCACATCTATCGTCAATCTCTCATTTTTTTGTTCCGCTTTCGTCTTGAGTACAATAACCTTTTCATTCTATGGAGTCTCAGTTGATTATCCACCTAACTGTGTTCCCATTTTGGGAGCTTGCTTATAACCACTTGTTTCTCCACGTTTTTCCCGAACTCTTTCAATTTGATATTCACGGCGTTTATTTTTTTCAGAAACTCCAGATGGTTTTCTGTTTAATGACCATATTATAATGTTCTCTTCCTGGATTCGAGACCAGTCGAGCGGAGTCATTCCTCAGTCTACGACTCTTAGCACTCCCTCGTCTTCCGGCTTTTCCAGTTCGGATTTGCTAAGCCAACCCACGTCATCTCCTAAGTCAAAAACATTTGACAACTTCTTTCCAACCAGTTTTAATGACCCGCACAACAGAAGCTGCGAGTTCTTAACGAATGTTTCAAAGAGTGTGAAGTCTTCATTACCTTTGACCCCTCCAGCAACCAGTTCGTCATGCACTACATCGTCTATCTGCGATACGAATAATAACACGAACGTATTGTCCTTTGCTTCTTTGAGCCCTAAAGTTTCAACAAAAAGACGTGTTTTTTCTAAAAAACGATCAACTCCTAGCAAAAGCCCAAATACCAAAATGCTTGACGACATTCGTCAAGCTGGTGTTGCAAAAGAACCTTCGAACCTCACGGACACGACTATAGTCTCCTCTTCATCTCGATCTTCAAAGAAAGATCTCATCAAGGATCTCTCACCTTCCATAAGCGACTTGTGTAAGAAGTATGTTTTCATTATTTCTCTCTTAATATTCTTCGTCCAAATATTAACTTTGGCTTAACACCAATAAGAGTTCATATGTGCACTTACTTAAACATGTACATTGAAAATTAGTTTTTTTTCCGGAATATGCAGGCTCATGGAGATATTTTGCATCTTCTTTTGACCTGTCGAGTTTCGAACCTCCATTTCTCTCTCTCCATCTAACCTTGATATCTCTCTGATCCCCCAACATACTCAGTTCAAATGATCTTAACCTGTAGTTCAAAAGCCTCATCATACTTTCTAATTTTACAGGAAGTCAATGTTGTCTCTTAGTCATCCAATCGATGCCATGGCTGTCATGGAAAATAATCTTTTCTTCGGTACCAGAGGGTTTGTTTTAAGTATTTGTTTTCATTTTTCACTTTGTATATCTTGAACAGAGTTTGTTCACTTGCTTGTTTATCTGCGGCCTGTTTTTCATATTTTATCTCCTAAGTCGACTAATGCGTTTACAAACCCCGATTAGGTGTACGTTCAACTCAGAAACCAACATGTGATGTGGCTCCCCAAATCGAGAAATTGAGAGAGAGAGAGAGAGATTGAAAAAGAGAAGGTGTGGAGAGGTGAGAGAGAGAAAAATGCTTTTTTTCGAGTTTAATTCTCATTTGAAAATGTTCAAATGTGTGTTTCTGTTTATGAGCGAGTTGGCCAACTGCCTCCTTTCTTTCACTGAAAACGTCGCCGACTTGCCATGGCAACGTCCAACCACAAACACACAAAGCGAAATCTTCCCTCTCCAATTGCCTTCTTCAGTCATTTGAATTTCAAACAACAAGAAAAAACAAAGAAAAAACAAAATCCTTAGACAAGATTGTTAGTGAAATGAAGGCCGATCAAAGCTTACGTCATCAAATAGACGAAAGTGGAGCTGCAACTGCTATTTTCATTCACAAAATGTTTCCTGTCTCTAGCTCAACACAATGTTTTATGACGAAAAGAGCATTTTCATTTAGAATTTTTCGTTGAAAAAAAAATATTTTCAATGTGACGATCATCTGACTTACGGAAAAAACAGGCTTTTGGCCATCTTACCATAGCTCAGCATTAAACACCTCTCCCCCACCTCAGTTTCTATCATAATGCCGCTCCTTCACCAATTCTCCATGATTTCAGGATAAATCCTGAGTTGAACTTTCCCCATTCGTTTGAATAACGTGGTGTTTGGCCGTGCCATGCACCGTCAACACCGGAAATTTTTGGGTTTTCGGATAAAAGAGGATTCAGTGAGCAAAAACGTTTTTTGCCTCTCTTGCAAGTTCACATGTTACCTCTCGAGTCTATCGAAGGGAGAAACATTTGCAGCTCCAAGATCTGAAACCTCTTTCCAATCATGGTGAAACCTTCCGAGCTGGAAGAAAAAAACTCTGGAATTACTTCCAGTGAACAGTTCAACCACAAATCCCAATCAAATTTCTTGAAAAGCAAGAAAAGTTGAAGGAAGGAAAACCATTTGGAGAATCTGGTCATCATCATGATGATCATCTTCACTATCATATGTAAAATTAAATTCGAAATTATAACTATCATTCATGAATTCGTGTATTTAGTACGTTTGAAGAGAAACAGACTGATGTAAAACATAGTTGAAAATAAAAGTATGAACAGAATAGATAAAAAGGGAATGATAGTCAGGCTAATGTTGTTGGTCTCTCCAGCTCTGCATGTTATTCATCTCCATGACAACGTTTCATTGCCAGTCTCCACCTTCTTCAATCAGTCTATCTCTCCTTATTTTACCTCTTCTTTCCATTTTTACTCTTAAACTCTCTTTCTACTTATCAACTTTCCTGCTTTTCTTTTTTTTCCGCTGACTTTCATATGAAAGCCTGTTATGTTTGCTATATCAGTTTTCGAGCCTTACGGTCCAAACTCTAGTCGGTATGATTCGGTTGAGAACTTTTTTATTCTGAAATCTTTCGCTCCAAGTGTTAGAATCACTGAGCAATATGTTTTTTTGTGTTTTGAATGTCTCTTAAAGGCATGAACAGCCATCAATCCATATAAAACCTATGAAAAAAGGGTTCTTTAATAGTTTATCCATTCCTATAGATATATCCTTCAGCAATACACGACGTCGATGCGAAGCCATGGAGAAGTATGAGCGTTTGGGAAAAATCGGGGAAGGTTCATATGGAGTAGTTTATAAATGTCGACATAAGGAGACGGGAAATGTTTATTTTCCATTTGAGGCTCTTCCAATTCTTTTTTTCATTTCAGATAGTTGCAATTAAGAAATTTGTCGAGACCGAAGATGATCCTGCTATCAAGAAAATCGCCTTGAGGGAGATTCGAATGCTCAAGGTTCCTATTTCATTCAATCCCATATTAATTTCCGCGTTCACAGCAACTTAAACATCCAAATCTCGTCAGTTTGATAGAAGTTTTTAAACGAAATAGAAAACTGCATTTGGTGTTCGAGCACTGCGACAGGACTGTTTTACACGATTTGGAAAAATACCCCAACGGGTAAGTGCCGTTTCATGTTCCATCTCGCTAGTACTTCTGTTTACAGAGTTCCAGAAGAACATGTTAAAAGGATTACTTATCAATTACTTGAAGCTTTAAGATTTTGTCATGCCCATAAATGTATTCATAGGTATATCGATTTGCTTTCCAATGTGTATATCTCTTCTTCTCTTCAAGAGATGTTAAACCTGAGAATATTCTGATTACTAAGAATGATATGGTTAAACTGGCTGATTTCGGATTCGCACGAATAATAAGTTTGTTTTTTCTTTGTTGTCATGATATACTGTTTTCCTTCTCAGACACTTCTGAAATGTACACAGACTATGTGGCTACGCGATGGTATCGCAGCCCAGGTAATTAGTATTTTCACATTCACTAGTAACGGTTTGTTTAAGAATTGTTAGTTGGTGACACATCGTATGGCCCACCTGTAGACGTATGGGCAGTAGGATGCGTACTGGCTGAACTGATTACAGGAGAAGCTTTATGGCCCGGCCGTAGTGACATAGACCAGTTATATCTTATTCGAAAAACTATCGGTTGGTTACACGCGAACTATCAATTAGCTCATTCAACATATTCAGGCGAACTTCTGCCCAGGCATATGTCCGCTTTCCGTTCCAATCAATTCTTCTTTGGTTTGACGATACCTGAACCTGACCAACAGGAACCTTTGCCAATTAAATTACCGAATGCTTCTAGTACACAACTTGACTTCTTATATGTAAGACGAGAATGACGTAACGAGAATTAATTGTGCATTCAGAAATGCTTTGAAATGAATCCAGACAGAAGATGGTGTTGTATGGAGTTATTACAGCATCAATACTTCCATGGATGGACATTGAAGTTAAAATCAGAGGATGGCAGTACTCCGATTGTCAAAAAGGTATGAACGATACAATTCAATCGATCATTATACTTCATATTCCAGAACCCGAATAACTATTTACCCTATTTGAACGGAAATCATGTTGGCAACAAACAACAATCCATACAAGCCACGAATAATAATCGAAGTTATCTGCCGGCCATTTAACACCTGTTCTTTGTTTTAACTGTAAATATGTGATGAATGTAAAATGTAATTCGAACAATTACACAATCACACCGTTTATAGAACCGTACTTTACAAAACATCAGACAAGAACGAGCACTCATAAGCAATCTATATTCAAAGTACAAAAATCATAAAGACAAGTATATGCTAATTAGGGCGCGAAAGAGGTGCAAGGCTTCATTTTTCATTTTATCGCCCGTGCTGAACGGTTGCATTCGGAATTCTTTTTAATTAAAATTGTCCATGCAAGGAATTTACGTCATATTATTTTCTATAATTATAAAACTAATTCAAGCAGATTTACATGTAGGGGTTTTCCAACTATTGGTCTGAATAATAGCGATCTTTCAACGTTCTGTACTTCTTAAGCTTGTATAAGGCTTCAATCTCTTTGACCACAAACTCGCCGTGCTTTATAAGTTTGCCAATTTCATTTGGATCACTCACATCCTAAAGTAAACGATATAATGCATCGAGGAAAGACTCACCTTGTTTTTCAGAAAAGCTTTCTTCAGTCTGCTATGAAACCATTCGCTGCCTTTTGGATACTCTCGTCCCATGTAGAATAGGGTTTTATACAAATCAACCACTTTCTGTCGTTGACTCATCGTCCTGGAAATATGAATTAGTTGAGAAGGATCTCATTGATGTAAGTAAGGAACGGTATTCTTTCCGTTGTTTCTAGGAAGACAAAGCATGTTTTGGAATATTTTACTTAATATAAGCCATTGAAGAAGACGAATAACCCTACCCAAGTATACAATTTCAATAGAAAGTGTAGTGAATTCATAGAGGAACAGAAAAAGGAACACCGTAATTACTATGAATATAATCATAATGGAAAAATGACTGAAAGTAAAATATGAAAAAACGTTTCTTCAAAGAGAGGGAGAGAGACATTCACACTTGACTCTGGAAGGCCTTTCTGTAGTAACAGGGAGTTGAAGGAAATTCGCCAAAATGGGAGAACCATAAGTAACAAAAACTAGAAAAGAAAACAACAGAGAGGCGCATTAAAAAGATTAATTTATTCAACAATTTTGAGCACTTTTCCGATAGCAACAGTCTTTCCTTCATCACGAAGGGTGAAACGACCGAGTTGAGGGAACTCCTGCAATATCATTCGATGTCATATAGCCTATACAATGTCATTACCTTGAATGGTTCCAAGCAGAATGGTTCGGTACTCTCGAGCCTCATGATGCATTTCTCATTCTGCTTAACAAATCTACTCTTCTTCTTTTCTCCGGTCTTCTTGTCAATAGTGCAAATAACAACCTTAGAAACTTTCAATAGAAAATTATAAAATATACGGGATTACCTTAACAGCGACTTCCTCAACAGCGGCTTGAATGTGAAGTACACAAGAATATCCAGAGGCAATGATCGACTTATAATCCAAGATAACAACCTATAGACAAAATAGAGGAATCAAAGGATGCACAACAAAGTTACCTCGGCATCGAATATTTTTCCGACCTTGCATAGGGAATCTTGTGAGCACAAAACGAATCCTGATTGGATCTCAGCTTCTTCAACTCCTGCAAACAAATCAAAGTTTCAATGTTCTTAGAAACACAATGATACCTCTTAATTTAAATTTAATATTATCTCCAGCAGCTACGACATCAGTTTCGACGTCGTCACTCCATATTTGTAAAATTTGGACAGGAGTCTAGAGCGAACGAGGTTACCGGAACAACTTCAAGCATTTATCTTACCTTGTTAGGCATAAGGATGAGGGACATTCCCTTCTCAACGACACCCGACTCCATCTTACCAATAATTAAAGTTCCCATATCCTACAGAAATCATTTTTCAAAACACACAAATCTTCCTGAACTCACAGAATACTTATCTACGACAGTACATCGGACAGCTCCTGAGAAATCACGGGACATTGAGGCTAAGTGATCATCCAAGTACTCAAGGAAGCATGGACCACTACAAAATTATTTTTAAACAAGAAGAAATTCATAAAAAAACGTACGTGTACCAAGCTCCTTCATTTTGCTCTGGTCTGTCCTTGATGAAGGCTCCAGTTAAACCAGAAATGGGAATGTAAGTGATATCACTCTTTCCGAATCCTCGGGTACGAAGGAAAGGAGTGAGTTTTCCTTCAATTTCATTGAATCTTCAAATAGAAAGATGAGAATTGATAAAAGCACAATTTCGAACCGTTCTATATCCCACTTAACAGTAGGGTCATCCATCTTGTTGACCAAAATAATCAAATGCTTAACTCCGGCAGTTTTTACTAACATAGCATGCTCACGAGTTTGACCACCACGGTCGAAACCAGTTTCGAATTCTCCTTTACGGGCAGAAATAACCTAAATTGGTAAACCACATTAAAAGAAACCATGGTGATACATACCAAGACAGCAACATCAGCTTGATTTGCTCCACTGATCATGTTAGGAACGAAACTCTTGTGACCAGGAGCGTCAAGGATTGTGAAATGTTTCTTCTCTGTTTCGAAGTAAGCGCGACCACACTCAACAGTCTTTCCCTTCTCTCTCTCTTCATCGTTGGTGTCCATGCACCAAGAAAGGTACCTCAAAGAAGCAGAAGCTGAGCATCCAAAAAGTCTGAAACTTACCAACTCTCACGTCCCTTATCTTTTGCTTCCTTCTCGTATTTCTCTAAGGTTCTTTTGTCGACCATTCCAGTCAAAAACATCAATTGACCTACAAAGAATGCTTAAATGAAAATCCAATAGGAAGTTTGAACCTCCGATTGTGGATTTTCCAGCATCGACGTGACCAATGAAAACCATATTGACATGCTCCTTTCTGTTGGCGTCGGGCAACTTGGCTCGGTTAACTTTCTTGTCGACTATGACAGGAGCGTCATCCTTGACCACCTTAGGCTTCAAAGAAATTCATCAAAAAAAAGAACATAAATGAAACAGACCTCTGAGATTTTGGTTTCTGTAAGATTCTTGTTAATTTCCTCAACATTTGGAACCTCTTCTACTGGAGGAGGAGCAACTGGAGCGGCGTCAACGACGACGGGCTCTGGTTCAGGTTCAGCATCCCAACCTTCAAAACAAAACATAAAGATGGAAACAAACAGTACACCAACTTGCTTGAACTTCGGAAGTATAGGATTGACCTGGAACAAATGGCCGAGCATTCACATTTGGCTTAAACTCAGCTGCGTTCAAGTTCCAACTTCCAGACATGCTTCCTGCAAAGTTTAATTTTCATGCGACGACTACGATCGAACAGCGAACAAGGAACTCAAATTTGGTCAATGGCAAGGCTATACTTAATGTAATATATCTAACAGATCAGAAAGCACTTGCGAAATTATATTTAATGAAACAGGAGACGCAGAATATACATCATGATTAAGAATCCAAAAAATACAACATTTCATTAAAAAATATTACTAAGACCGTGGGCAAACGACATTTTACGACAAATACGCAATAGCCGTTAAAAACAGTGCAGACTCCTTTCAGCTCAAGCTTTCAGTAGCCTATTCAGCTTTTAGCTACATGATGTGTTATTATACAGTTTCGTTTTGTTGGTCCACGGGTTTGGTAAAGAAGTTACTATAACGATATACTCCAGTTGGCAAATTGGGGTTGAAGCCATAAGTCGGATAGTACGCGTATTTTCCTTGCCATTGAATTGTGTTCGCAGTTCTGAATGGATGTTTATGTAAGAAATATGTTTAAGCAGCTTTGATTCTTCAGTTTAAACCTGAACAACCGATCGTAGAAGCCCGTTTTCGCTAATCGTGTTGGTTGACCAGTAAAAATGGCTTCTGCTCGCTCATCTTCCTCTGATTAAGAAATATTTTTTGTCATTTTTCGATCATTACGAACCTGAGTTGCGTTCATAACACGGATAATATGATCTGTAATTGATGCGCTCAGGCAAACAACCAATGGGGGATGAATATGTGCTTGGAATTAAAAATAAGAATATACAAAGAGTGTATAAGGTGATAGGGGTCATTTTGAGATTATGAAGTTGACCGATGGAACAACAGGTTTCGTTATGAAATGAACCCGTGGATTGATTGAATTCATCTCATCGTTTTGATTTCAAAGTTCGATTATAGATTAAGATATCAATTCTCAATATATGGATAAAAAGAATATTTTATACACTCTCAATTGCTTATTAACGTATTACTACTTCTGATTGTTCCATAGGGCAGGAAAGACGAACGAGAGCTTCTTAGGATAGGGAGAGCTGGAACAAACGCTGAAAATAACTCAATAGTAGCTAATTAGCATATTTGGGCTCGTTTTATTTTCCACGTGATGCGCTCACTTGTCAATGCCATCATTTACTTTAATGAAGGCGTGAAGAGCGGTTGTACTCGAATCAGGTGAGTCTATTTTAATTCAGAATGTTAATCAAACTATTCACCTATTCTAGATTGCTCCGATGTTTTTCTGGCTGGATACAGTAAGAGTGCGTCCGGTAGATGACTTGAATCGACAGAATGCCTCACTGAAGGAAATTATATGCAACTCAATTTATTCTACTTAATACCAGCAGGTGAATGAATTTGAATAATTTTAATTCGATTGAAAGATCCGTTGTTGCTATGACCAGGTATAACTTCCTTCCTGTAACTTGTTGAATATTGTTTCTTATGAAAAGCTTCTTGCTGATAAGGCAAAATGTTTTTCCTTGATCTTATCTGAAAACGTCCGTTCGTTGATATTTTAAGCAAGTCAATTTACTTTGGTATACTTGCGTATCAAAGTTGGCTTCAATCTCGAAATGTTTCTCCCAGGGATTTCTCTATCACCCAGTATTTGATCCTTTTGAAGAATATGGTGGGCTGTGAGAAAACGGCTATGGGTTCCTTTCACTTTTTTCCATTCAGGTTCGACAATTCCTATATTTCCATTTGTTCCATCATCAGAAGAGAGAACTGTAAAATCATAGAAGGAAAATACATGTCGAGAAGTGGAAGAATAGGTAGTTGTGTGAGATATATGGGAGAACGCTTACCTTTACCACAAGAGAACCTTATCAGTATGATACTCGAAATCAAAAACTGCTTGAGAAGCATCAGCACACTAAGAAAACAAGTGAGATTAATGGTAGTCGGTGAAATCTGGTATGAGTTTTTGTGACGGGTGTCGATGATCTGTCTCTCTTCCTCTCTTGCAGGCCCTTTTTTGTCTTCTTCCTTCTTTCTTCCACCTTCCTTCTTGCATCAAATTGTCAGTATCGCTTCGTTAAGGATGAAAGTGACATAATGGGTTTTCCTCCTGGTTTTTTCCGAGATCGGCGATCTTCCAGACCCTTCTTACAAATTCAGATTTTTCCAGTCGAATTCTACAAACGCTGTCTATACTTTTGAATTCCATTCTGTTTTGAGCACGAAAATGGAGATATTTTGCATAACTCAGCAGAATTTATTCAGGAAATGAGAAGTGGATGTTTATCAAGTGAGATCATTCTTCACTCACATACAGAAGTTATTGTTTGAACAACTGCAACATACGGTCAGAATGAATATCTCGAATTCATATGGGAAGATAGGATTGCACATCTCTACTATGAGAATAGAGAGTCAATGATAAAAATAATACATTTCTGTTTCCTGCTCCATTCTGTGAACAACATTCTAGCAGCCAACTTCACTTGTTCTAATCCATCTGGTATAGGTGAGTTTGAGCAAAATCCGCACACGTGCATAAGTGTTTTGTGTTGCAGCCTGCAGTTACGATGAGGCTCGAGATGTCCATATCTGTGATGACAATTCATTCTGTTTGTTCGACGTGAGTGTTGATGGATTATGCTGTTCAATTTTCGATATAATTTTGAATCCTTCGTTTTTTGGTCTGTTCCGTCTTTGCACATAATTTTGATGTAAACGAATTTGAAGAAGAGAGCACGGATGGCTGTTATGACAGCGTGGATGCTCGGACGGGACAGTCCATTTGTTCGAGTTTAGCCTATTTGTGTTATAATCAAATGTACTTTGATTTTATGACACAGGTATGTAAAAGTTTTTTTTGAATCAGAAAGAAGTCAAATCCCTTGAAGGAATGTCCAAAAACTTGCAGAAGATGTTCTGAAACTCGAAATTTCAACAAAGCAGTTGGTACGTTTGCACCTATTGATCTCTCCTTATGTTGTGTTCATTCTTGCAGAAGAGCCGTTCGTACGACTGTGTGAAGATAAGACTAATCCAACTACGGGATTGAGTGATTGTCCAATCAATAAGGGTTTATGCAATAACAGTTACTATGGTAAACTCATGGAGGAGGAATGTCCGGAGACATGTGGACTTTGTTGAGAATAATTTATTTTGAAAGTTTTCTTTGACATTAATTGAGATCAAATGAAAATCCATCGACCCGCAAAAGCCCACTCGGGCGAACTAATGAGCCTTCATATCATTATCTAACTTCTAAGCTATTCTCGTCGAAAATGTTTGAATCTGAAATTAGGAATGAGAGAATTCGTGTCAAACTGTGGGAATTACCTTGGTCCATTCATAGACATCAGGATTTTCTTCGGAAAATTCAATAAAAACTTGTGCCATTTCAGCAGTTTTACAAAGCTCCAGGGAAACACTCCCATTGACATCTTTGCCATCGAAATCACAACCAATTTCCAAGAATGCCTATAAAAACTTGATTAGAACATCATTTTCTGAGAAATATCCGAACCTTCACAGTTTCACACAAGTTATTTGAAACGGCATAGTGCAAGAATGTGCTGCCAGCCAGTTTGTCATGTTTGAAACTTAAATAGTCGAGAATCTGAATGAGAACGTACTTATACGGGATGTATGTACGAAGGCGTCATACCTCGGGATTCAGACGCTCATCCTCATAGATCTGAATGATCAAATGGTAATTGTCTGTTAACAGCGCTGAGTGCAGCTGTCTTTTCAGAGTTTTGGTAAGAGTTGGGAATTTGCACAGCTCCAATTTGCGAGATTTCGGACTTTTAGGTACAAAAGGATCGAACTGAAGTGAGATTATAGCAACAACACAATTCGATTCTCTTCTTACCTTCCGATTGTTTTGATTGGGGTGGATAAGCTCGAGAAAATACTGAGCATTTCCGTGAGAGGTGCACTGCATTAATCTCTGATATGTAGAAAGGATCTCCGATTTGGAGATATTCGTGAGCCGCAAAGGAAAATATCTGAAGATAATGGCATTTAGAATCATTTGATTCACAGAATAGGTACTCTATTTGATATTTTCTTGCTTCAAATGCTTTCTTCAAGGATTTCCCTTTGACGTCCATCGCAGACGACACAACTACGATTCTGTTTGGATTACTCGTCTTCCAACACTTCTCAAGCTCCTCGATTGTTTTGGTCAATAATGCTTCTTCAGATAATCTACAATCGCATCAATTGATTGAGAATGTTTTTGCAAAGTCAACGAACCTGACGCTATTGTCGTCTCTCGTTGTCGGTGGAGTAGTGATTACTGAATGCTTGACAAGCATATTCCTGTAAGAGAATGTGAGTATGAGAGAGCTGTTCAAGCCAATAGCTATCGTACCTTCTCATTCTGCCGATTGCAATTGATTGGCCATTTGCCACAGCTATCAAACAATCCATATAAGGCTTTGAAGTCTTTGCATCAAAAACTAAATTTTTTGCAACAAAACTGCAAAAAGGTGGAATTTCGGAGAAATAATTAGTAAATTCTTACGTGTAAATACTATAGATTTTTCCATGATGGCTAAAAAATGTTTTGCAACAGTCTCCATCAGAAACTTTTGGCGAAGAGAGGTTTAGCAATGCAGTGTTTTCATCTGAAAAAAACGAATTCAAAAATGGCTTTGTGTGTGAAGTGAAGAGCGTAGGATAGGGAGAGAGAGAGAGAGCAAGAGAGAGATGTGAGCAGACGAAGAAAAAAGTTCAAAATTAGGTCTGAAAAATACGTGCAAATCTTCCAATTTACCTCGAGGTTGAGTGTTCACCAAAATATTTTCATTCCATAATTGGATATGTGGATCGTTGACTAGCGAATCGAAGGGAAATCCATTTGATTTTGGCAGGATATGTGACTACAATGAAATTTTGACGAATGAAATGAAGAATGCAATCTTACTGAATCATTTTCTGAAGTGTTTAGAATACAACTAGTAGCGCTTGCTAGCATAGAAAAGGCACACTTTGAGAAATCTCATCGTCTATTTAAGCACATCGCAGGATTGCACAACTGCCTGCAACAGTGACTCCGGCATGCGCAATCGATCGATCAGCGCAAGAAGTGAGAGACAAAGAGAGATAGAGACACAGAAGAGAAAGGACAGAGACAGTGGCAGATTTTGATTTTCAAACTTTGCCAATTCATAGAATAGAATAATCTTTTTTCCCTCTAAATCTTCTACTGCTCATTCCGATTGAGTTAATTGAACATTCGGCTGCCTGTTCAGAACTCCATATATGAGTAAATAATTATTTTCGTTTTGGGCAATCTCTGCATGTGTGTGTGTGTGTGTATGTGTGTGTGTATGACGAGGATTGAAATTTCAGAAGGAAACTTTTGTTTTGTGGAATGATCGAAGACGATGTGAAGAGATCATCTTCGTAGCTCACGCACGCTACGTGATTAGCAGTGAATTCGTGGCCACCCTCACATGAAAAACGGTTGAATATTCTCGGATTTGGATGTGAAAAATAGCTGGCAGTGTGATTGTCGTCGTGTTGAAACTATCAGAAATCTCAGAGCCAAGTACAAATACACATACATATACACAGATAATTGTGTGATGGAGGACAGGAAGCGCACAGACATCGACTACACAAACGTTCGAATCAAAATAATTTTTCCGTCAAAATGTGCGTGAAAATTTGAATTACAAATTCTATGCCATAAACGGAATGAATAAATGATTAGATAATTGGATTTTCGAATCACAATGGGTATGAAGAGAAGATTGTGTGCGAAGAACAAAGAAGCACATTTTTAGAGAAAAATGTTTTATTAAAAGTAATTTTTCACATGAAAATGTGGTTGGTCGTCGCATTTGCATGCAAAGAAGTCGCTATCGTTGGATGTTTTACTTCCTCTACACATTGGGAGAGAGAGATTGAGAGGAGAGACCATACATTCTGGAAGTTATGGCAAGGTGTTGAGTATGTGTTTGACAGTTTGTGTGCAACGCATGGATGCGCTTTGCTAGCAAAACAAAGGTCGAAGTAAGTTCGAAAAGCTCAGCCGTAAGCACTTTAGACATGTTGATGTTCGTTTTATTAATATTTAAGTTGTAAATATTGGAAATTAAGGTCATTTATAATCAAATTGCTCGTTTTGGTGTCCTTCTCTCTTCCTCTATGAACATCTGCGTGTGCGTACGTATGTGTGTGTGTGTGTGGGTATGTATTATTCTATTGCTGTTCTTTGCGTATCAGTGTCGTCCTCTACCATAACGACAACGACAACGATGTTGATGTACGAATATTAGAAAAGGCTTGAGTCCGTATAAGGAGAATGTCATTGGCTTCTGTTCGTCTCAAAAGTTTTCAACATTTTCAGATCGAATTTCCACAATGAGCAGAAAGAGAGAGAGTGTCTTTGAAATAAACAGAAATCGCTGTGCTGTTTGCTCATCAACAGTTTTGTTGTGAGGAAAGGGCTTTGTGATGTTTGTACTCGGCATGTTTCTCTCTATAAATTGAAACAAACTACTTTCTAAACAAGCAATTTGCCTATAAACAACTTTCTCATTTTCATTTCTTTATTTTCTTCATCCGAAATTCAAAAAACATTCTTTTTTTATTCTGTTGATGAAAAACCAACTGTTTCTCTCTATAATTGACAAAAAAATAGAGGAGAAAGACAATTCCATGTTTCTCTCTATCTTGCTCATTCTCTCTCTCCCTCTCTCTCCCTCTCTCTCTCTCTCTTTGTATATGATATTCTACATCTTCGTTGCCATTCACATCCCATTCTCACTTTCTTGCTCTCTTTCTATTGTCAGCTATTGCTTTCATCACTCTTCCTCTCTATGTCTCTCAATAGAAAGTTAATGCTAATAATCAGAGATGAACATGCTTTCGACTGTAAATACAATCGAATCATGGCAACCGATGAAAGCGAGCAACTCGTATATCAGACAACAACATTTTTCTCCTCCATATATGTACATATATATATAGATATAAAAATTATCATATACAATCAGTTCTGTGAAATGTAACAAGACCTCTATGTTTCTTTCTCACATCTTCAATCGCTATCTCAGTCTCAGCAGTATGTCCTTTGAGTTCATTGGATTCAAGTTTTAAAGGAAGCCTATGCCCTCCTCCATCTCACTGACTGACTGACTGTGTATGTGTGTGTGTTTGTTTCTCATTCATCTGTCTCAGAAAGCCCAAAGTATTTTACCCTTTTTTTCTCATTTAAAAACTTCACTTGTCCTCTTGTTCTTTTGCCTCTATATATATATGGAAGCTTTTGTTGGATTAGATGAGAAGCTAACACTGCCGTCGTTTCTTATGCTCCAAACGTCACTTTTTTCTCTTTCACTACACTCCCTCCTCCTTAATCTTAATCTATTCACATCTCTCATTAGTTTTTTTTTCATTTTCTCATTCAAATTTGCCAGATATCCTTGATCTCAAAGACTATGTTCCAACTCTGTGCCGTTCTGAACTTCGCTGGCGCTATTGTGTGGAAAAGTTTCAAAGATTTTTAGCAGTTTTTGCTTCATTCTCTCATATCAAACGTTCAAAGCTGTTTTCTTGTCTCCCAATCTGTTTTTATAACGATCTGACATCTCTCTCTCTCTCTCTTCATCTAACTCACAGTCTCAGAGTTCATGCAACTCTTTTTTTTTATTTCCATTTAAATGCACAAAAACCTTCATGAAAACTCTCCCATATATATAGCTGATCAGATTGAACACAACTTCATTGCTTGCTTCTGAAACAAAGCCACAAAGCTTCTCATTTTCATCTCAAAAATGTTCTGATGAGTTAGAGAGATGCATATGGTGCATGTGGCTGCATACATTACGTTCTTCTTCTTATTCTATTTTCATCAGATGATTCTGTTTGTTCGAATATATAGTATTCTCTTTTCATTCTTTCATTCCTCTCTCTCTCTCTCTCTCTGACTCTTTCCCTCCCTTACTTACATCCGAAAAAGCTTTCATTAACTATTCTAATTGACGCCAATTTCACGTGGAAGTATTTTTACGTGACAACTCATTTCAATTGGAATTAGACGGCGTGGACGGTTGTGTTGTTTTCTTCTTCTCCTACCTCCTTCTCCTCATCCACCCTCACTCTCTCTCTCTCTCTTTCCTACTCTATCTAACTCTCTCTCTCTCTCTCTCTTATTCATATTTTTTTTACTATTTATTTACCAAAAATAAATAATCCATGCAGATAATAAGTACATTTCGACTTCATCTGATTCCTATATTGATTTTAACTTTTTTAAACTAAAAGGAGACAGGAACTCGTAAGTGCATGTTGACTCTCCATAATCTGTTCTTTCTCTCACAACTATCCTCCCTCCCTCTATATATATACATTTACTTTTTCTGATTAATATAGTTTCTTTACTTTTGCCTTTTCCAACATATTTTCTCAATTAATTTATTTCATCCGTTTATAAATCACATTCCCTGAGCATAAACCATGCTTAGGTGTGTGTGTGTCTCTCTCTCTCTCTCTCCCTCTCTCTCTACTTGTGTATGTGTGTGTGTGTGTGTTGAGCTTTGAAAGATTGTCACAAATTGAATTTATTGTTCGTACGTCCTGCTCGTTCGTCTTCCATATTGGTATTATTGGACTGTACTTGAGCATTCCGTCTGCCCAATACCAATTTCCGTTCAACGGGCACAGTTTTTGGTTTTAAAATTTGATGTAAGGACACATCAGTTATTTCAATCAAACGGACGGCATTCACATCCTCCTCCTTCTCATTCTTCTTTTTTTGTCCGCTCCTTCCTCAATTCCTTTTTCGACATTTTTTTTCTTATTTTGTTTCGTTCTCAGTTTTCCTCGAGCATCTTCAATTGAGGCGAAGGACAGAGGAAGAGAGAGAGATAGAGAGAGGGTTAAAAGTCCTTTGCTCTTCAACTTCTGTTCCTCGCTTCCTCCCTCTTCACAATCATTTTTATTGACGATCATTTTTTATTCAAAACTCCATTTGAAACAAATAATTTTCGATCTCGAACAGTTTTTTTGTCCTTTCGGGTTGTCAGATGCACGAATCAGCCAAATATTCAGTTGTATTTCGTTTTTTTTTCTTTTTTTTTGTTTTATTATTCCAAATGAGAAAACAATCAGCTTTTCTCCTCCCCATAACTATATCTTGAACATATTGTATAACTATAGCATATCACTGTAAGCAGCATGTTTGATTCACTTCTTTGTTTTCTCGTCATTTCATCTCGTTGCTCTTCTTTGTCATCTTCTTGTTCTTATATATGAATATCTCTCTCTCTCTTTCTCATGACATGATACTTCTTTCAGATGGACGTCACTTCCTACTTAGTTTTTCTATTTTTGCCTGCTTTTATCTTCATTACTGCCATGTGTTTATATAAGAAAATGTAAGTTTCAATATGTTTTCATCTATGTAAACGTATCATCATACCAACACCCTCATATCATTCAATTCATTCATCTCTTTCTAGGAAAGAATCAACGGAATTGGAAGAGCGTCTAAGGAATTCCGGATATCCTAATCCGCCAGCCTTTGAAAGTAAGCTAGCTATTCCTACTTCATTACCCTTTATCAATCTGTCACTTTGATGTCTTGCTTACCAATCTCATACATCTCTCTCTCTCTCTCTATCCCTTTATTACCTTTCAAAATAACTTTTTCAATAAAATTTATTTGTTTCAGGTCCATTACCCATTCATCCGTCTCCGGTAACAGTTGCACCTGATTACTATCTAGCTTTACAAATGAGGAGAGAAACTCGCATTTCCTTAGAAGGTATGTAACATCTTTCTTTGTCCATCTGTACGGAACTAGAATTCATTCTTCTTCTACGAATTATACAGAAGTATGATAATTGTCTGTTCATGTTATTCGTCTTCTTCTTAGTACTATTTGGAATGAAAACAATAATTGTTAACTTCTGAATGAAAGCTTCTCCTTTCATACTTCTACATCATCTCTTCTCTACTCTGTATTTTGTTCGAAAACTTTCATTTATTTTTGCCATCTGAAATTATCGTTTTTTGTAGTTCTTCAATCAAAAAAATGATTTGTGTAAGAAGCTGGACAAACCACGAGTTGTGCTCATGTTTTCCTCTTTTGAAAAACCATCCTATAATTCTGCTTCTCTCCATCTCCCCCTCTCCCTTCCCTCTCTCTCTCCCAATATCTGTGTTCTTAGTCTTACAAGAGAGATTTTGTTAAAAATAGAAAAATCTGTCCATAAATATAAATAAGAAAAGTTATTAATTTGCTTTATTTCCAGGAAATCCAACGAACAACATTCCATATCATATATACAACGAGATGTGTCATCCTACTGGCCCAGCTATGTTTTCTCCATTTGAACCACCACCATACTATCCTGGATTAGCTAAAAGCTAACTTATGCCATACTTGCTTATGAACCGCTGTATCAACAGAGCTTATTCCAGTTTATTATGTTGAAAATTATTATTAGTTGTTTGTTTTCTTCCTAACTTGTCATAAGATCTGCCTCATTTGCAACGAACTTTCTAGGATTTCAATTGAACGGGTATGCTTAGGCTAAAGCTCTAAGCCTTGAGCTGAAATGGAGATTCATCTATAAACCTCATATACCTTCTAGTAACCTCTCTCTCTGTATATATACCTCTTTCTCTCTCTCTCTCTCTCTCTGAAGCTCATATACCGGTTAGATGTTTATGAATTGTGAATATAGCGACAACTATTTATGAGAAATTAAATATCATTCAAAATACATTTATTTCTTCAACTTTTTACAACAAAAAACACAATTGATAACAATATTACAATCTCTGAGTAGAGATATTGCATCCAATACAACTGTTTACCATGTATGGACATGTATTTTCGTGAAGAATCAGTGAACTTAATGCTTTTTTCAGCCCAGAATGCTCCAACATCAATTGGATCAACGATGTTATCCAGATAAATCCGATGATACTTAATCAAGACATTTAATATGATAGACCATATTTGGAAACGTCTATGACGTTTATAAGATGCATTGGAACAGATTCAAAACACACTCATACATCAAAGGCTTTGCGACATTCAAATGAATAAGCTCGACGGTCTTCTGAAGATCATTCAGATGAACATCATCAAAACAATTTCAAGCAAAGAGGGAATTGACAGAACAAAAAATAAAGTTGATGATGATTAACATAAAATCTTTTCTTCTGCTTATCTCTGTATGTTTTGACTCTCTTCACATCTCACAACTTACTTTCTCTACTTTCGATTTCATTGTTGTACTCAGAAGAACTTTGTTGATTTTGCTTTCCAGTTCAACTTCTGTCACATTCTGCAAAAGGATTTAAGAAGAAACAATCTGATTCGACTCTTTTCTGCGAAAATACTTTTTTATAAATTGCTTCCGCTATACCCATGTAGGTAGCATACCAAGCATTTCGTGGTTGATCAGCGAAGAAGGGCATGAAGAGCATCGGTGTCTTAGCGCAGATTCCTTCTTTCAAACTCAAATGAAGAGTATAACCAATCAATAGAAAGATAGTGGAAGGTAAAACCTCTTCAAGCCTCCATGTGTGAAGAACAAAACTGTATTTGGATGTGACAATATATCATTTTGTGGAGTCCATTTCGATAGATGTATATGAGGTTTTAAGTTTTTGATCTGAAAGAGCATAGTTAACCATTACAAGTACTATACTATATGATATAGATTAGTTAATCACTTACTTCCGGTCCGCCATAACTCCAGATGACGCGATAATCCGTTAATTTGTTGAACACTTTTACGAAAGTTTGAAGAACCTAAACAATTCAAAAATGAAATTTAAAATTCTGACATCGACTTCAAACTCCATTCAATCAAATATGAAAAGCAATTAACGCCCTCAGGCAATACGTTCAAGTCTATTAGATTATTCATTTACGTGGACAACGTAATTGAATATACACGTAAATTCCTCACGTAAATGGAAGTATGGTTGTAGTCTGTTGCTAAATGAATGGTCACGTGCGGTTTCTACGTGAGTTCACGTAAATTCAATTCCACGTCAATGAACACGTGAATCAGTTTCATTGCATTTACTGCTCACACACAGACCGGTTGCATTGATACTCCGCATTCACACAGAATGGTTGCAAATTTCTATTTTTTGGATGTACCAGGTAGGAGACTCCTTCGCAAATTTTTTTTCGAGTTCCTCACCTCTGGTGGCCCAGCCTCCCAACTGACAATAGATCCGAATGCAACATAGATAGTACCTTTCGAAGATTTGTCTTCAAGAATTTTCAGAAATTCTTGATCTAATGGTTTTGTTTCTGTGAACGACAATTGCAATTGAATATGAAATGGAGTTTCGTACTTGAGCAATATTCAGAAACATAGATCATTTCGTTTGATTTTGTAACCGGCATTCCATATGTTCTAGGATAATCTATGAACGTCATGAAGTTCTTCTAAAGAATCAAAAGATCATTATTAAGAAAATCGAAACAAAGCAAACTTCATAGAGGAGAGTTTGAGATGCTGTCGTACCAATGAGGTCTCCAGCACTTTTAACCAAACGATTTGACAGGTAGCCAAGAAAGATCTGGAACAGATACATTCGAAGAGAAATGTTATTTCAACTACGGGCTCAATCATCACATCCATGACTGTATAGAGGCGGTACCTAAAGCTTTTCAAGGAGAAATCCGATACATGGTATCCTTTCAAGTAGTAACTGTAAAGAGTGATGAAGATAGTATGCAAAAATGGAGCAACTTCGGATATGTAATTGGGTTGCGGGATAGTGCTCGCAGCTGGCTTACATGTGCAAAGAGATCTCAAAAATCGCTTGCTTAGACAATGAAACAGAAAGTTGTAGTGGTCGTGTTACCTGTTGTTGAGAATATTGTAATCTTAGTTGAACACTTCTGATTTAGATAGAATGCAATTGCAGCTTGTGCCGTAGAAAACATTTCGTCGACAATAACGAGATCATAACACGTTGATAAGATATCTTTGAGGCTTTCTGCATATCATTTGTATAATTGATGTCAACGACGTTCAAAACCTTCATCTTTCGAAGAATTCAAATACTGCCAACCGATGTAATGAGGTTCATCTAGCATCACTGGACTCATCTCAAAGAACCAAAACAGTTTGTGAACCAAGCTTGTATCCGAGAATCTCTCACGATCTTAAAGTACATGTTCATATATTGACTATCAGTCAGTTCCGTTTGTGTGGTCTTTACCGGGGAGCAATGTTTCAATGGATTTGATTTTGTTTCCCAGCTTGCCAATTGATGATGTTACAAGTGAATACATTGTCACATCGTTTCCTCTGTCATGTAAACTGAAAAATAAGGAAAAAAGTTTTTTTTCTTTCTTCATCCAAGTGTTTATCACCTCTCTCTCTCTCTCAGTCTTCCTCTTTGAATCTATATATCTCTTTCTCTCTCTCTCTCTATCTTCACATCTACATATCTCTCTCTCTAACTGTTTCTATCTCTGGATCATCATCTTATACAACTTTTCGATTTGAAATTTCATTTTTCATAAATCAACCAAATTGAGCACGTTTTTTCCATTTGCATTGTGTTTGTGTGGTTTTATTAAAGTTTTTGGAACACATTATGTCTAAAGATGGAAACAAAGAGGAAGACAAGACCTCAAAATGAAGCTCAGAAGTCATCTGGGAAAAAGATGAAACGTCATGGACAAATAGTCGAGGGGATAGAATGCAGGAAAGAAAGCAAGTCAAAGAACGGAGACAGAGAGAGGGAGGCTAAGAAAGAAAGAGAGGGAGGCTGGAAGCAGTGTGAATAAAGCGGTGGTTGCTTCTTCTACTTCCACCATTTTAACTAAGCTGGATACAAGAAGCAGATAGATATATGAGAAAAGCACACAGCTCTATGACAAACAAGTCGACGTCGTTGTCTTCGTCGTCGTCCATCACCAGTCATCTGACGCAACTAAACTCTCTAAGGACACCATGTGAACCGTCGTATCAGAAGCCACACAAACACACACTGTTGCCAAGTGTTAAGTTTTTGATTTTTTTTCTCAAATTTTCGCTTCCGTTTTTCGTGATGATCGCATAAGCAACGTTTTTTGAAAAGAAGTCATCGTCCACCTCAACCGTATATATCCCCTGAGGGATTTATTCCTCTCACTCTCTTACTTTCTTAAAGACTTGACATCATCCGCTTGCATTTAACCGGAATTTACTGAAATAACTCAATGCCTTTTGAATCTCCAAACGACATCCCATATATCTTGCTGAACGGCCAACTTCGCTTGCCCCAAGTATGCCTTTAATGGCAATTTTATATTTATTTACTCATTTAATAGAATTCAAACTACTCTTTAACTATCTATTGCAAGTTCGTTTTGTTCAAAAAATATCTGTCGATTACATCTTTCTCAGCTCTTCTTGTTGCAACTTTCCCTCGCTCATGCTTCATCTCTCTCCCTCTCTATCTCTTCTTCTTCTCTCCATTTCTCCATCTCTCTCTCACTTCTAACTCAGAACAATACTTCTTTCATCATTATATTTCTTATATTTTTCTTCAAAATCATTAACTATTCCTATAATATTTGTGTCCGAATTATTTCGTTTCCTCATGTCTCAGCTTGATCATCCAGATCTACTACTGCATTTGCAGATGTGGAGGTCTTCCATCTTCTTCCTTGTCATCTGATTGGCCTTAAATCTCAATTTCCTTCTTTTTGCCCCTGACTTGCGTAACACTTGTATGATTTTGTTCAAACATTTCGTTTATCTTCTTCTCATCCAAAACATCCAAAAACCTTTTTTTCGTTTTTTTTTTCATTTTCAGACGTTGAAACTCTCCGATTGCATGTGTATAGTCTCTCTCTCCTTCTCTCTCCTCTTCTCTCTCTAACTATCCAATGCTCTTCTTACTTTCTCTTCTCGAAAAACTGAACGAAAAATTATTTTTTTTAATAAAAAGACCTCCAAAATGAAGATTTTGTCATTTGAGAAGCCGATTTTCACACTATTTCCATTTGCATTTCTATTTATGGTAAAGAGAGAACAGAGACAGACGACAGATCAGATTTCCAGCTGATCTCTTACAATTATTATTTCGATTGTTTCTTATATAGAATCCTCTTCTCAACCAACCACCACCAACACACACACACACATCTTCTAATGAAATAGATCTCCGTCAATGTGTTTGGAACAAAAAAAATGATTTTCGATGACATTTGAGAAAAAGAAAATTATGAGAATCGTTTTGTGGACGACGTATGAGAGAATCAAAAAGACATATTTGGTTGTTATTATGGATTCCACAAAGAACTGAAACCCTCAACTCTCTCTCTCATTCTATCTCTCCAATTGTCCCTTCTCTTAAACCCTCTTCTTAGTCTCTCTCTCCTCCAAAATGTTTTTTTTTTGAAAATAGAATTTTAAAAAACAGAAAGATAAGTTTCCAACATTTGCATATCTTGTTAGATGTAGCAAGGTCTGCTAGTCTCGACCTCTCTCTCTCTCGACTTCTCTGCAAATCATAAAATCTTTCAAAAGTACGAAGGACTTTCACACTCTCTCTCTCACTCTCTCTCTGCCTTCATCTATCTTCCTACATCTCTCTTTTATAATTGAACTTGTTGGAGATTTTGAAAGTTAAAAGCTTCAACTCACTAACTTATCTTTCATCTTCGCCCCCATTCCTCCCGAAATCTGTCGACACATTGTTTCGCCCCAAGGGTGTCTGATCAAAACGGAAGGTTTCTCATCTGTTTCTCAGCCCTTGCCCAACTTTTTTATTTTTCAAAAGAATTTTCAAGAATTTAAAAAAAAAAATAATTTGTGTTCGTTGCAGCATCGTTGCGTTCTCTTAGCAGGGATTATATGATATGAATTACCCTTCTTATTTCATACAACACCGAGTTGGACAAACAAATTTTTCATAAAAAACGATAGAGAGAGAGAGAGGGGGGATCTATAGAGAGAGAGGGAGAGAGGGAGAGAGCAAATTCCTTTTTTCGTTTCGTTACGTCTTCAACTCAAAAATAAAGCAAAAAAAACCATTTTAATCCATGTCAATCTATCTCCTTACTCACACAAATTCAATTATCTTTAACTATATGTAATAGAAACTAACCGTTCAGCTAACGGCAGCATAGTTAGCGCATGACTCTTCGATTGCCATGTATTAGCGAAAAGGATTTTGGCACTTGAAGCCAATCCGATGATACCAAATATGCAAATTAATCGAATTTCCTTCTGAAAAAAAAAAGAAAAAAGTTTGTCGAAGTTTATGTGATGTTGAGTAGTGAACACTCACACACTCACTCACACACAGCCTATGTGCAACCGCTCACACCGTCACGTTGACGTTCAAAATGAAATTTTTTTTATTTTGTCTGTGATACGTGTCACGTCGTTCACGTGAAAGAAGCCTCCCAAATGCAAATTTGAAAGCCGTAAAACGTTTTGATGTGAGTGTTTCTCTGCAGAACATCCAGTTTGGTTGTTCATTTCTGATATTCTGATGTCTCGATTCATCTTTCCTTTCTCCGTTTTTTGGCTCAAAAAAGAAAAATAGTCAAACTTGTAATTCAATTTGTCATGAACAAATGAACCGACAAAAAACAAAAAAAGTTTGAAATGTTTTTGGAGAAAGTTCAACGTCAAACGTCTTGTTCAGCTTCAACCTCATCTCGTCTGAAACCTTCCATGCTCTTCCTCTCCTGTGCTCTTCCTCTCCATCTACTTGTGATATGTTCCTTCGTCAACATGACATGTATTCTCTTTCCTCTTATTCAATTTACATAAATTATTTTCACAAAATATCTTTTTTTTCTGTGAACAAAATATAATCACAGATGTTCGAAGCTTTCGATCGTATTCCATTGGGACTAACGAGAGTTGAGGATCGTCTGGAATCAGAGATCTATCACATGATCCCTTCTTTCACTTGTCTCATACATAGCTTTCTCTCTATAGCTTTCTCTCTATACATCTCTCTCTCTCTATCTATACTCTCCTTTAGCTCTCTACAGCGACTATGCTTAATAACGCCCATGAACACAACATTAATCAAAAAAAAAACAAAAAACAAAAAAAAGGCGAAAAAATGATTGAAAAGAGGATGAGAGAGAGACTGAATGAGATATTCAAAAATCAAATTTTAATTTTAGCCTTCAACCGAAAAAAAGGAAAAACAAACCATTTGCTATTTGAAGAGTGGCAACTGTTCACTGCTTATCATATAATTTGACCTCCTTATGTATTTGATTTTATCTTTTTTGGTGGGGGGGGGGCTTCTGATAAGCAATCAGCTATGTACCCCTGTTACCCCTTTTCTCTCTCTCACTCTCTCTCTATCTCTCTCTTACTGTCTGAGTCTCGTCTGTACGTGTTTTTTCGTTTCGTTTGATCTGTCCATGACCAAGTTCTATTAACTACAAAGGTTTAAAAGAACTTTTTATCCCAAAAAAGGATGATTTTGACAAAAGATAAAGGTTTTTATCGAATTTCCTGCGACATATGAAGGCATTGGCAGTCAAGCGAAGATTGGTTGAACTCTCTCTCTGTTCTTCTTCTTCTTCTGCTTCTCCTTGTCCTCATCCTCCTCCTCCTCCTCCTCATCGAACTCTTCCCTTTCCATCTGTCGGCTAACTAATATTCTATTTTTATTCAAAAGTTCCACACAAAAATGCATGTTATTGGCCATCATATAGCTATGGCCAGTCAAGCTCTGACGAAGCTATGACACTCCATGTGTGAAATCTCATTACTAGATGTATGTTGAAGATTTGTTTGTTATCTAGTATTCTGAATCCGTTTTCAAACAAATTTCTTCTTTGGTCTTCAAAAAAAGGACCTTTGAGATCTCTCTTTAGGAGGTTGTACCCTCTTTATCTTGTCAGCTTTCTCTCTCTCTCTGTTTATAGATATGATGTATCTCTCTTCATGTTTCCAACTTCTCTCCTGAGTCTTAACAGTTTGTTGAGCAGTTCTTTGACTTGTTGTACTTCCATTCATCTATCATTGGTCTTCTTCCAGTCTGTCAACCAATTCTTCTTCCAATATAAATGAAATTTCCAACTTCCGACTTTTGTCTTCTGTGGTGTGTGTGTGTGTGTGTGTGTGACAAATCCTCCATAAGCTGCAACAGATCGTTCGAGCTTTTTGTTTCTTGTCCTTACTCTCACTCCTTTAAAGCTCAAAAAATGAAAATTCAAACTTTCGAAATCATTTTTTCTGATTTTTAATGCTTTTCATGCGCACTCCTTCCTTCCGCTGACATGTCAGAGGTGCTGCTCTTTCTACGTGTTTTCTACTTTTTTGTTTCTTCTTTTTGAATTTTTAATATTCTTCCTTGAAATCGATGAGATAATGTATTCGTACGGCTGTCAAGTTCATTGTTGCTGTCAGATACAACCTTATCCTTCTCTTTGTTTATTTTTATTGTTTACAATTAAGTTTTATTTCATTCAGACAGTTTCAATTCAAATATCCTTACCTCCTTCTCTCTCTATCCCTCACCCTTCCCTCTCTCTCTACTACTCTCCCTTTCATTCCATATATGCACCTGAAATGTCTGATCTGATGCATGAATAACGATTTTGCGGAAGCTTCGCAGTCAGGGCTGCCTGTTTTTGCGGTTGACCACCCCAGTGCTTGAAAATGTGAAAATCAAAAAATTGAAGCTGAGAGGCTTCAAGTAAAACATAATACGTCTTAAGCAGATCGAATATAAGTATCCTGGGGTAGAAATCAGTTTTTCTTTTCCTCTTCTAAACCATATCATCTGACTCTCTTATTCTCCAGTAGAATCTCTTTCTCTCTCTCTTTCTCTCTCTCTCTCTCTGATTCCCTCTCAATCATTAGTTCTTTAGCTGTTCGAATGTGTGAGTTCGTTAAGAAGAAGAAGCTTGACAAAGTGTAATGTCCAGTTGAAACGAGGAGAATAAAGAAATAGGGATATATTCTGAGAGAAAAAGAAGATAAAGAAAGAACCGAAGGAGAAGCTCTGTCCGGCTAATTACGTAACATCAAACCCTCCACAGCTTTCCGCTTCTAAACTAACTTCCAAGAGATATTATAGTACATAATTTATTCAGAAATCCATCATATATGGTTGTGTAAGAAGCATTTTTCTTCATTTTGTTGTTCATAATCTCTCCCTCGCTCTCTCTCTCCCTCTCTTTGATATGTTTATCTCTCTATGTTTATCTCTCTCTCTCTCACTCTCGCTTACTCTTTCTTAACAACTATAAACTACTTTCAGATATCACTATCTATACACATTGCTATATAAGGACCATACAAGTACATACTACAAAGCACAAATGCCAGAGGTAACATACAATTAATTTCATTTGATATGTCTCATCCCCACCCCAACTTGCTCTCCCATCCTTTTCTATCAAACAAAAAGAGGGCTGTGATTGATGATTAATGCTTTTTCTTTGATGTGGTCTAAACACGTTTGTCGCCTTTTATGACAATTTTTGAAAATTTTTATTCTCCCATGGGCTTCATTGAAGCTTTAAGCTGAATTTACTCAAACAAACAGAGAACTTTCTGCTGAACTTACTTAACTCACTTACTTAATTCCTTAATGTTTTCATCCTTATCCCAATATCCTTTCTCTTCCTTTTTCCTTTTTTTTTAAAAAATATACGAAACATGACCTCTTTCTCTCTCATTCACTCACACGCTCATGTTAGTCAAAACACAACCGCGCTGAACGCCTAAAAAATCTGCAAATGAACTTTACTCTCACAAATTGACAGCACGTGTAATCCACGTGGTAAAATATGCTAATTAGTCAATTGAGCGTTGAAAAGCTGCTTAAGATTAATTCAAAATAGAAATTTCATTTTCATAACTAACGACAGCGTCTTAATAAGCTTAAGGTAGGTGGGCTAGAAGTGCGGTTCAATGTCACTTTCCGGCATATAAGGAAAGCTCGTTTGGCGGATGTAAATTAGAATAATTCAAAGTTTGAATAAGAAATTTTGAACTTTATTTTCAAGTATTTACTTTGATGTTTAATCATTCACAAAAAGAGCTTTTTCTTTCATTTTTCATTGTTGATGATGATAGTTGAAATGGCTGAGCAAGAGAGTGTGAGAGTGTGAAGAGAGCGCCGAAGATAGAGAGAGAGAGAGAGAGAGTAGAGAGAGTGGAGGTTGTTTAACAATTCTTTTCGTTTATGTCGTGATTGTCTTTTCGTTTTTTTTTATGTTTCAAAGCTTTTGCTCATCGGATTCGTTGAAGAGTTGAAACACATCATCATCATCACATATTCAATGCTCAAATGAGAGCGTTTGAGACGTTTTTTCATTTCTGCGAAACAGAATGAAACGATATAAGGAAGAGTCAAAAAACGATTTTGATGATATCAACTGGTTCCGTTAACTCAGCCAAAATCTTTTAAAACGGAATTGATGACATCTTCCTTTCTCTCTTCACTGATTATGGCTCTGTGACAAGTTCCGTTAGGCTTTTTCGTTCTCTGAAAGCTTAGTTCTTGCTCAATGCTTCATCTGCATTGACTGAAGCTTGAAGATGTTCTTGAGCTGAAGCAGTTTTATTCCGTTCCCATATATATATATGTATATATGTATATATATGGTTAATTATATGAAATGGTTTCACAGCTTCATGTCCTCATAACCTTATAAGCCTCAATAGCAATAGCTCTCTCGAATGTTTGCCATTTGAACTTCCTTAATAAGCACTTTGGCATATACTTTTTTGGAAGAAAATTTTAAATGTTTCATTTGGGAACGGAAGCATCAGAATGATTTGTACTTGTAATGCTCATGCGATTGTATTTAGTTTGATTGTTATTGGAGTTAAACAGCTTCTTCCCTTCATTATTGGCATCATCCACTTCATTATCAACGTCTTCATCTTCATATGCATATCAGAGTTCAAAGTTTATCTCAGATTTATCTGACTAACTTCTGAATATTTTGTTATCCGCTAGTCTTCTGCAGTCTCATCCAATTTCGAAAATAGTTGAAATTTCATTTTTTTTTCCTTCTTCTCCTTCATCTCTTTCTCCTGCTCCTAACATCATCTATGCTTCATCTTCTGAAGATGCAGAAGCAGAAGAAGAAGAAGAAGACGATGAAGAAGAAGAAGGAGCTGATGCATATTGTTCCAAATCATTTGAAGAGTTGTTCCTCTCCCCCCTCTCTCTCTCTATCTCTTTCTCTCTCTCTTGCTTTCTCTCTTTCTATAGTTGGAAGCTCTGTGTGTGTGTGTGTTTTCTTCGTTCCATTCACAATTACTTGATGACATTCTTCTTTTTAACAAATTTCTTGATATCATTCAACTGAAATTGTTTTGAGCTTTTCCTGTTTTTCCACATTCGTCTTTGGAGCTTCAGAGTTTCAATCGTCCGTCTTTCAACTATTCAAAGACAAACTTATATTTTTGAAGATTATCTTCTCTTCTTTCGTTTTTGAACATAATTCCTTATCAATGAGTCTTGATGATGTTCTGTTCGATGAGGAAGATCGTCCCCGACTCTGTCGGGCCATTGTCAAATATCACAGCCCTTTACAGGTTCAATCCAATTATTATCTTAACTATATCATATTGTTAACTTATATGTATCTATTTCAGTTCCAAGATCGATTACAGTACATTGATAAACGATATGATCATTTACGAAAGTTAACTCAGACATTGAAAAAGAAGATAAACGAATTAGAGGTTCGTTTGTGTTCGTCTTCGATTGGGCTGAATGAAGTCTGGCTTGCAGGATATCATGCGGATGGAGAACGACGAACAGAATATTGAGATAATTCAAACATTACTGGCTGATATTAAAAGAGAAAAGCAGAAGATACGAGATGAAGCTCATATTATCCGAGGAGAATTGAGTCAAGCCATGTACAATGAGGATCTTAGGTAACTATATGATATAGTATAATATATATCTTAAGCACATGGTTTTCTTTTCCCAACAATCGTTTCCTTTCACATCAATTCTAACATTTTCATTTGAAATTGCTCACAATCAGCATGTCATCTTAATACTCTTTTTAGATCAAAAATCTTGAACTTCATCGATCAATTTGAGAGTTGGTGGTACGACGAGCCACAGTATGTCTTCTTCACAATTACATTTTGGCCGCATGTTGTATCTTAGTCTAAACAAGTGTTGTGTTGATGTTGTTCATGTTAACCCATGTTGAACTAACAGAAAGCTTGATTAGACAATCAGCTTCATATCAGCTTTCCATCGTTCTCATATCTCTGCAAACTGATTGTTCTATTTAAGGAAAAGAATAAATGGAGAATATTCACGAGAAGATGAAGAAGGAGGAAGTCAGGCTGAAGATGATATCTACACTCAATCATCAAGTGAAGACGTTCCGTATAGAGAAACAAGCTTCTAACGTCTTCATGTAAATAAGATTTTTCTTATTTCCATAAGCTTTCTCGCATTAGAATTTTACCTCTTTTATCTCACAGATTGTATGTGATACAACGACTACATAGTTCGGCCGAACAATAAAATTTTTCAATTTCAATGTTCCCTTTTATGGGATAAGCATAAGCTTCATGAGCATACTTCTCATGCTACAACCACAGTCTATTGATCTGTCTCTGGTAGCATGAACAATACCGTAGTAACATAGAATACAGTCAGATACTGCTCTCATCTCTTAGGACATATCTAAGTGATAGTATCATCTGTCACGCCATTTCCATCAATGGTTTGTAGTCTTGTAAGGAGCCTATGTAGTTTATAGTACAGTCTGTTTAACATGGCTATGTTTTCCATCTTTGCATTCTCTGACAGACTAACACATGAGGGAGGGAGCGTTCATTGCATTGAATTGTTAAGGAGTAGTGTTTCTTAGATTTTTCTTTGTTTTTGTTTATCTCTGTGCTATGTGATGTTCTTTTTTAAAAAATTGTTTTTTGAATTCATCAATGCCTGTCTGGTTAGTCTTCCCTGATTCCCATTGTAGCGATTGTTGTTTCATCTTTGTATCAGTGTTGCGTCAGTGTTGCCTAAGTGTTGCCTCAATGTGATATCCATCCTATTGGATCTTGAAACCAATTCTTGATGGTCATCTCATTGTTTTGACAAGTCAGTTTGAGATTTTGATTCTTCTGCAATGGAGATTTTTGAGTCCATATCTGTGAATGCGGTTTATCTCGCACAACAAGTCTCATCGATAGCAATAACATTCTTTCAATTAGTTACGGATGATTTGAACTGAGGCCTATCTGTTTGTTGCTTAATTCAGATAATCACTGCTAACAATAGCTACGTGACTGCTCTGTTGTTAACAATTAGAAGGATGCAGTCGCTGTAGTGTTAACAATTAATTCCTAGCAACCGTGCGAATGAATGCAACCGCTCGTCAAGACATTAGAAATTGAAATGAACTGTGAACGCTCTGCCTGACTTCAAGAAAATTCAGTTTTTGTAACTATTGTGATAGAATGAAGACGCAGTATTTTCAAATATCGTTCGTTGCTAATTGCTAACACAGTTTCATACTGTTTATTCGTGTTGTAGTCGGAGAAGAGCAACGAGGAAATCAATGTAAGCGGTCGGGCTCATGTTTTCCATAGATGTGATCCTCATTCAATTCAAATGATCCATTCATTCTTATTAGGCTGTTTTCTCTCTTCCTTCCTTAGAAGGATACTTCTGCGCGTAAGGCAACTCCTTGTCTGCTATACGCCACAGAGAACATCCAACAAGCTAAAGGCGTTTTCATTGGGCGTAAACATATGCAAATCTCTCATAATGTTCTGATACGACATGGAACGGCTAGGATTATGTTTCTGTTCCTATTGGCTAGACAGCTCTTTGGAAGTGCTGCAAAGAGAACTTGGGATGACGAGAGGTTGTCCATAACATACCAAAGCTGATTATGGAATAAACTTTGTTTCGGTAGGCAGCATTAGGCATCAACACACAGTATGGTTCAAGTATAGGATAGAAACATATGCTAATCATGGAATATTGAGCAATCGCTGAAATAGGTTCAACTTATTAAACCTTTTTCCTTTGTTGAACTGCTCTTGAAAGATGGTACTACTTACCAGGGCTTCCCGATTTGAAACAAGCGCATATGACGAGGCAGATAATAGGAAGACCCATCCCAACTGATTCCAGTATTACCTTAATCATAGTGATGACCTTGAAGGGAAAAAAGAACTTACAAACATAATTACTCCAACAGTTATTTTTCTTTGATTGGATAAGAATTGAGCAGATTGTGAGGACTTCCCCTGGTTTTTGATGCTCCGAATGAGAAGTATGACACAGGTGCTTGCAACGATCGTGTACAAGCCCGTGAACGCTGTCATGTAAAGTAAAGCTAACTTAAGACCCTTGTTCGTAGACAGTATAATATTTACTCCATCATGTGTATTCATCTCTTCGGGATACTGACCATGTAGCAACTGAATGCAATACCTTAGAACCAGACTATAGGGGTGGTTGACATACTTTTTGACAGTTTAGTTTCGCTTCATCGCCACCGTCCTTCATATTCAAACCTACTATAACGATACCAAGAACCTGACAAAATAACTGAGCGAAGAAGAACATCAAGACACAATTTTTCCATTTCTGCAACTTCAAGACAACTGAGAATGTCCGGTTGATGGTGAGTAGAAGAGAGAACGTTGCACTGACTGGAAACAATGTTTCGCACATTAGATTTTGAAGTAAATATTTGTTACTAGCGAGTAAAGCCATTTGAGACCAGCACTGATTGAAAGTACTCATAAGCTTGAAGTAAGTGAGCAGCCCACTTGGATAACCAGATGCACATGGAAAGAGAATACATGGTACAGTTCCTAATGTCATAAACAGTTGAGCAGCGGCAGCTCTACGTAAATATGGTTAAAGAATTTCTCAAGACGAGTACTTACGACAAATCATGGCCATGAATGACAAACCGAGTGATAGCATTGAGCTTAGTAGGTACAGTGATTAGCAAGTAAAGAGTAAAAAATATGATGAAAACTCCAATGGAAGACAAGCTGTACATGACGATGATGTAAACTTCCATCGATGGACTCACCATATAGGTGAGGTTGAACCCTAAAACAGCCTATATAAGACTCGATGTATCTAATGGCAAAACCAAGGCGCGGTATGATGCTGTCGAAGAAAACATGAGAAAAATGTATTTTTCATGAAAACATTGAAGGAAGATGAAGCCTATTCACGTATTATGTATTTTCGATTTCAAACAACTTCGAATAGGCCGTCTGTTGTTTCCCTACCTTTCGATGAATAGCAAACGCCAGTCATAGTTGGCTGAACATGAATAACCAACGGGATATAAAAAACGGTCTACTACTTTCAAGTATTTAAGGTGATATGACTCCTGACTATTGATGAATGACTCCCAATATAGCTTGTCTGCTTCTGTTTGTTGGATATGATGAAGATCTTTCAATCAACTCCGAACTGTCTTCGACACATTGTGAGAAGGAATAACCCCAATCTTGCCAATCTTGCTTTTCATGCTGAGTGATCAGTTATCCTAGCTTGAGTGTTCTCTGCTAGAATCTTTTCTTGTATATTGAGTTCATTTAATCAGTGAAACAACTATTGTTTACAGAAGGGTCTGCCATGGTATTCTTCATTCATAAGATATACAGACGAGGTGGATAGAAGAGCAACGTTCATGAACATCAACTGAAGGCGTAATGGTTTCTGTTTCTACTGTTCTTGGCATTCACAGTTGATGAATATTTTATAAAAAGCAAACAAAAAATATACAAATTGTATAGCTTCATAGGAAATTGGACAGACATTGTAAACTTCCTCGTTTAGTCAATAAATTAGGACGTCTGATCAAAAATATCTCAGAGCTTCGTTCTTTCACAATCGAGCGTCCTAGCTCTAGTTTATTTCCTTGATTTCTTTGTTTACTTTTCTTGTTGAATCTGGTTTGTCATAACTGAGATAGTTGTTTCTTATGTTTCTCGCACCACATGATGGCTGAACTTATTGTGATGCATATGCTCAAAGATCAAGAAGTTGATATTTCCGTTTCATTTCACGTTCACCATTAACTGGATAAGTGATGAGGAGATTAATCAAATTATCAAGCCGGGCTAACGCTCAGGTTTGTTTTCCACAGCGAAGCAAATTGTCTTTGATTTGTAGCTCTCGTGCTTAAGAATGTGGCTGGCTCTATTGCTTTCTAATGTAAAAACAAATTCATAGAATACTATATATATTTATTTACATGCTTGTATGTATATATATATATAAGGTAGGAAAACCCTCTTGTCAATTTTTATTCTTATCAGAACAAGAGCTTCTACAGCTCCCAAACAGTCATGAATGTTTATGTCTTTATTATGTACAGCTTGTCTATCTTCGGATTCAGTATTCTATTCTTCTCTATGTACCTACTTGTGACTGTCCCTACCAAACTGACACCGCTCACCCAGTTTATCATACATGGGCATGACATATCGTAAGTGATTGTTTTAGAAAAACTTCTTAGATGCTTGCAAAGATCTGGAGTTGCACAGCTATACCTAACACTTGGGTTGATCCCCAGTATCATTTTCCCTTGTGCATCTGGTTACATGAATGGATTATTGACTTACTTCAATGTTATGAGCACTTTGGATCAACTGTGGACTCAAGTTGTGTTGATTGCGAGTAACTATAATCAACTACGAACATTTGATCAACAGCCTTTTCAGTAAATGGATCGTTCTCACTACTTTTGACCATCAACAGAGTGTTCGCTGTTACCCTGAAGATACCTGAAAAGTTGAAAAAAATATTCTTTCAATTTTTTTTCGTTGCAGTCATCATAGTATTGTCTGTCGTGACCGTTGCCGGTTTGAAAATGAGAGACGGTGGAGCAGAAGCGCGGATGATATGTCTGAAGGTTTTGTTGTTCAAGTGAGTTATAGTAAAGGAACTTGTTAAGAAGATAACTTATGCGTATCCCGATGAGATGGATACGAAGAGAGGTGTCAACATGATACCAACTCAAGATACTGGCTTCTTGACGATAATGATATATATGGCATTGTTCACCTGTATTTACCTTATAATAACCGGTACGTGCACTGCCATATTAATCCGGAGCGTATGGAATCAGGGAAAATCAACACAATCGACTCAATTCTTAGCTAACCAGCGTAGGATGACTATCGGAGTCATTTATTTCGTAAAAATTTTCTCTGAAGTTGGGATTAAAAATTGCTTTTGTTTCCAGGTGTTCATGGAGCTGATAGGATTGGGCATTCCATTTCTCTGTCTCAGCATCTGTTTTTGTTTCCATCTAGGGACCCCAGGTACGGTTTCATGTTCGCATGAACCCAATCGAGCATAAGTAAGTTAAGCATAAGCATAAGTTTTCCAGCTGTTTCTCATTATGCAATGATAAGCATAGGTTTTTACCCCATTTTCGGACCTTACTATGTGTTGATGTCGAATAAAGACTACAGGAATCGAGTATCCAAGATAATGAAGCTAAGTTAGTTTCGAGTTCTCTAACTTCTCACATTATATTTCTCTCAAAAATGCGCAATATTAACTGATTCTCCTTTTACAGCTAACAAAGTGACAATTCGTGTGGTAGAGGGACACAAAACTGTTTGAAGATGCTTCTCACGAGTTCATCAATCTCTATTCTGCTACAGATCATCTTCTATATTCAAGTCAGAAGTCTCTGAACTGATCGAAGATTAAAAGATCTGAATCGAATTTAACTATGTTTCCGATTTTTGCTATAAATTGCATCACATCATGCTTCGTACAGGCCTTCAGAATTTCCTTGTGAGCCAAGAAACTTTGAAGTTTTTTGATCTCACATCTTTCTTCAACAATTATTATTGGAAAGCAAACAATATTTTATGAGAAAACACAATTCATATTCACACCTGCAACTTCTGTTACGTTTGACAGGCAGACAAACCTTTGGGATAATTTTCATCGTCTGTCTATGGAACTTCTCGTTTCCGTCTGAGGGTATTCGATATCGCACACAACCTTTATAAGTCAGTGGAAATAGAATGCCTTTCTCTACTTCAGAATGAGACCAGAACGTGTCCAGCGAATCAGAAAATGATGAAAAACCCAAATAGGGATAAACAGTACATAATAATAACATAGAGGGACATCTGTGGTACGTGCAATCAGTCTACTTGTTAGTGAGGCAAGAGGGAGCAGTCGACAAAGGTACCTCCGTTCATGTATAAACGAAAATAATAATTTGTATTCATTCACAACATTCGAGTGTTGAAGCGTACTGGTACATGTGGTGGTTGGATAATCCGATTGTCCAGTCACTTCTATTTAATCACGTCATCTTTTAGGTGAAATTAAAGTTGCAAAAAGAAAAATGGTTATGATATTCATAATCAGAACCGAACGCGCAATTCAAATATATAATGAGATTTCAGAAATATGCTAATTCGTTCATCGATCTGTGTCTGGGCAGACACCTTGTTTGGAAAAGTTCCAAAATGC